TTTGTAGTGCTCTCGTGTTACGCTTAATATTTTTGCTCATATACAATAAGAGAAAAGAAGATGAGCAATTTATGCTGAAGAAGCGCGAAGCAAGCTTAAGGCACAACCAGAAGAAGAAGCTTAAGGAATACATAGAAGAGAAAAATATTAGTGAGGAAGAACTAACACCAAGTCAGATTAATGAAATCATTACAGATAAGAAACCTAGCGGGAAGAAGCGCGGAGCACCCAAATACGACATGAACGAATACAAAGTAATTATGCCAAATGCTGTATAAAATGATGATTTAATTATTTATATTAAATCATTATTTTTTGTTACTTATTTATATGAGCGAGAAGCAGAAAATAGTTAATGATGTATATTTTGATAGAGCCGGTTATGGTTCAAAGCAAAGGACATTAAGCGAAGCACGGGAGAAGGACAAAACCATAACAATGGGTGATATTAACGAGTTCTTTAAAAATAATGTTGAACAAAAAAGAAGGCCGGTAGGTCAAAACAGTTTTATCGCCCCTCATTCCGCATATGAGTATCAAATGGATTTGTTTTTTATAAACGATATGGATGAACAAAAGTTTAGGGTAGGTATGCTAATGATTGATGTATTTGATAAGTTTATGTGTGTGGTGCCGATAAAAGGAAAAAAGGAAGAGGATTTGGCGAGTGGAATGATTGAGTGTTTAAACAAGATGGGAAAGAAACCCGAGATAATTTATACAGACGACGAGGGAGCAATGAACAAGGAAGCAATACAAAAGTATTTGAAGGATGAGAACATAGAACATCATAGAACGAGGGCGCACCCAAATCTTAGCGAAAGAGCCATCAGAACTTTTAAAGATATGTTGTATAGGAGAGTTGAAGCAGATGAGAAAAAAGGAAAACAGAACATCCAATGGCCAGACTACATATTAGAAATATTATTGACCTATAATAATCAAATGAAACACTCGGCCACAGGATTTACGCCAAAAGAAGCCCGAAAACCCAGTAATCAATTCAAAGTGAAACTAAATTTAACGATGAAGGGCAAGAAGAACCGCGTATATCCCGAACTAGATGTAGGGGACGAGGTTAAGATATTTAGGAAGCGAAAACCAAATGAAAAAGAAAGGGTGGGAAATTACAGCCAAAATATTTATACCATAGAAAGCATTGAAAACAAATTAGGTCAAAATTATTACAAAGTTGAGGGTGTTGATAGGCAGTATTTACGATTTGAGTTGTTAAAAGTTTAATAATCTTATGAATTCAATTTCTAAAGAAAAAACCATCTAAAGAAATAATGCCTATATATATTCACAGGGAAATGTTCAAATTTGAAAGTTGTTGGAAGTGCGAAGAAATGAACAAGGTAAGGGTGTTAAATAGCAAGTTGCCGATTGATATATGTAATCGTGTGTGTGAATATGATAAATGCGATAAGTGTAGGAAGAAGATAATAGAAATGGAAGATTTTGATGAAAACCCCAGATTTTCAAAACTAAACAAAGTTCAAAAGATAATAATACACATTCTATATCGTAACCATGACATTGATACAATTATGGACAGGCGCAAATACAAAAACATCATCAAAAGGTCAAATAACCCACTGCGAAAGATAATGAAGCACTTTGTAAATATCAGAAACCATTCAGACAGGGAGCGTTTTATGTTTCACGGTGTATGTCATGCTAGTTTATTATATAGTGTCATAAGCCGTTTATCAGACACAAAAGTTTTTAAGGAAATCGCATATTATAAGATTAAAACCGCTACTATTAGATTTAACGGTTTTGAAATTAGAAAGGAAGTTATAGTAAAGGAAATAATACGCGAATGTTTTGATTTTTGGCTGGTAGGTTGGAGGGACTATTATAACACCACAACCGAAGAAATTATGGAGTATGTAGAGTATGTGTTTTCGCTATAGTTTCGCAACCATAACATTATTTTTCTCTTATAATGTTATGTTTGTAGCTTAGGCTAGTATGGATATTGACCTAGGTTTATGTGGTAGTTGGGATATTGACCTAGGTTGGTGGGGATATTGACCTAGGTTGGTGGGGATATTGACCTAGGTTGGTGGGGATATTGACCTAGGTTGGTGGGGATATTGACCTAGGTTGGTGGGGATATTGACCTAGGTTGGTGGGGATATTGACCTATTCTTATAATGTTATGTTTGTAGCTTAGGTTAGTATAGATATTGACCTAGGTTTGTGTGGTAGTTGGGATATTGACCTAGGTTAGTATAGATATTGACCTAGGTCGGCGACACACAGCGATAGTAACACAAAGCTACTACCTTATCCCTAAACCTTATTCCTATTATTGTTATTTTATTAGAGACTACCATTTCCATTTTCAAGGGTTAGGGTTTTCAGGTTGGGAATATGGGTTTTTTCTATGGGGGTGTTGGTGTGGGTCTTCTGGTGGTTTCATCTTGTGGGTTAATGGTTGAAACGAAGGAGTAGCAAAACTTACGGGGTTGAAATTGAAGTGTTTGAAAGTAAAAAGTTATGTTGTTATGCTTGTTGAAAAAGGTCTGTGTTGAAATGAGAAAATAATTTGTTTTTTGCGAAATATCATTAGAGAAGACCACTTCCATTTTCATTTTTAATATCTGAGTTTGGATTATTGGGCGAGATTTGGGTTGAAATGTTTAGGTGCTTTCAAAATAGTTCAAAAATAGTTGAAAATACTTTGACTGGTTTAATATATGAAACGAATGAGTAGCAAAAATGTAGGGGTAAAAATTGACATTTTTGAGGTGAAAATATGGTTTTGGTATGCTTGTAGAAAATGCGAAATTAACGTTTTTGGTGAAAGTGGTTAGTGCTTTCATTTTGGTCAAAAATGAGGCAAAATTTTGGAAAAAATGAAAATTTTACGATGGTATGCTGGTTGAATTTTTCTAGGAAGATTTCAATGATTTTTACTTGAAATGGTATGCGGATTGAAAAAATGATATGTAAAAATGATTGAAAAATTGGTGTTTGGCCGTGGGGGGGGGGGGCATCGGGTGGTGCCAAATGAAAATGGAAATGGTATCCACTAACTAGATACCCCGTACATACCCAAAACAACCCAAGGACCCGTAAATCAGAACCCTTTGAAGAAGGTAAGGGACCCTATTCAGGGTGCAAATAGCTACCCTAAACCCTAAAGCCTAAACCCTAAACCCTAAACCCGAAACCCTAAACCCTAAACCCCAAGCCCTAAACCCTAAATAACCGCCCCAAGGTCGCCTCCTCTTTGCTTGGGCCGCGGTTGGCCGCAAAGGCGGCAGCCGCAGCGAGGCCCAGAACAGCTGGCAGCGCCTGCCATGGTTTCGGCGGCGTGCCCAACATGCTACATGGTTAGGGTTTAGGGTTTAGGATTTAGGGTTTAGGGTTGAGGGTTTGGGGTTTACAGGGTATAGGGTTTAGGGTTTGGGGTTTAGGGTTTAGGGTTTAGGGTTTAGGGTTTAGGGTTTAGGCTTCACAAGGGGTTTCCGAAAATTGGGGGGGGTACCCTTTTGGGGAGGTCCCTTTTAGGGGATGCTATTCTATGTGGGGCATAGAAAGGGCAATACCCACATTATATGGGGGTTTTCTTTTGTTGGGAGACCCCTCTTGACCCCCAAATCTAGCCCTTAAAAGGAATTCTGGGAGGGCACCCCTATTCTCGGAAACCCACGATTGGGGTTTTGGGGGGTTTCGGGTTTAGAGGCTCGACGCGAAAGGGAAGGGCCCTCGAATCTCTTGAGGTCTCGCCAGGAAGGGTGGTTTCCAGGCACTTTCAGACCCAGCCGCATGTCCAGGGATTGGGCCCTAAAGCCCCTGATGTCCCAAAAGCTCCTGGAGCCCCCACAAGCCCCGAAAGTCCCTCCTATAGCCCCTAAGCCCTTTAACTAAAGGCCGTAAAACTTAAAACCGCTTGAGGGTCTCAGGCGCCTTGGGGCCTATTCAGCTAAGATGGTCATGATGGGTAGCTTCTGGCCTAAGATGAGGATTGTAAGGTGGAGATGCTATGAGAAGGGTGCCCTCTTTTGGGGGTCACTTCATGAAGCGAACCTGGAACCAAAAAAAATGCGGACCAAAAGGGTCAACCTGGGGGCTACCCTGTATTCAACGGCCTCTTCCCAGGCTCTCCGCGCCACGGCACGGGTCCGGAGAGGGGCGGCCACGGCCCCTGAAATTTGGGGGTTTTGGGCTTCGGGTTTAGGGTTTAGGGTTTTGGGTTGGGGCCTATTTGGGAGTCTTTGGGCTTCTTCGGGTTCGGGGTCCGGTTGCAAGAGACTGCCGTCTTGGGTGTCTCCATGTAAAGGGTCCCAAGACTCTGAGGCAACAATGGCACGCCCCAGTTGCTGAGACAGTCCTCTTTTAGTTGGCTCCCACAGTCTTGCAGCATAGGGGACCCCCCAATTGAGATGCCCAAATAGTAGGATCCCCTACCCGTCATGTCGGAAACCCACACACGGGACGCCTCCCCGAGTAGGCTGAGCCAGCATCGGCCCAGGGGGCAGCCGCAGCGGCGCGGGGATCATGGGCTCTCCGCGCGCGCAGGGAAAGCTCACCAGGATGGGTAATCCCCAGAAGCAACCCGAAACAGGGCCCTTTTTGAGGGGGTTATAGGGTAACCCCTCTTGTGTGTAGTCCCACAAACCCAGAGTCCCTTTAGGACGGATAGGTCGGCATGTTCCTCGCACATGTTTCCAGGGCTCCAATACACTATAAGCCTTGTACCCTAAACCTGTCAGAGTGATAGGGCAGGGGTTAGAGAGTTTTTGACTTTCAAGCCGAGACGGTACACATTCACGTGTGGTTTAGGGCTTCAGGCCCGTCGAGTTCACATCTCAAACCCCAACACCCTTCCTGTTTAGGGTTGTAGGCGTCTGGAAGTCTTCATGAGGGGGCTTCTCACCCTGAACCCCAAATCCTAGTGTGGCTTGGAAAGGGCTAAACTCTTGGCGCCACGGTACACAAGGGAAGAAGGGTACCACCGGTCGGTCCCAGCATTTTCTTCCCGGTCATGACTCTGTGTTCCGGGCCACCCTGGCCAGCGCGGACGTCACGCACCCAAAGACGAGCAGAGCTGCGCCAACGATGCTGACGGCACCCGAAACTAAAGCTTGGCCTTCCGAGGCACCTGCAAACACCTAGGTTCCAAAGGATAACTGACAACTCTGCGCTTGATGAAGTTGACAAAGTTTACAAGCGAGACGAACCCATTAAACACAAAAACAGATGTGAAAGGACACCACTCAACATCCCAGCTACGATGACGAACTCCATGACCATCTGCGGCAGCAACGGGCCCAGTGAGTTGCCGATGAAGTTGTTCGCGCCCTGCACGAGACCCACCCCGAGACTGCGCACCTTCTCATTCTCCACGGAGTTGTTGCACACGATCTGGATCAGGCCCGTCGTGGCCCCCAAGCCGATACAAAGAAGGACCATGCCGGCCCAGGTGAGAGATAGAGTCGCCAGCGCGTAGTTGGTGTAGTTGTGCAGCTGCAGTAGCAGTCCGGCCACTGTCACGAGGGCGCCGAGGCAAGAGGCCGCCATAGCCTTCCGGAGGAAGAGGAGGATGCGCCGCATGTTGTTTCCCTGCTGTATGCTGCTACTGAGGCATATCCCGATCGCGCCACCTACACCAGTGATCACCAGAAAGCTCACGACAGACATCTGCTTCTCCATCGTCCAGAGTTGAATAAAGAGCCGGATCCAAATGAACGCCAGGCCAGCATTGATATAGTTCGAGGAAGCGAAGGCCACAGTTGCTCGGCAGAAAAGGCTGTTGCTCCACAGAATCCCCAGCTGCTGGCAGAGTGTGAGGTCCTCTGAGACTCGTATCGTTGTAAGGAAGCTACCAGTTCGAGCACGAGCTCGGGGCCGAGGCTCATCTTGAGACTCCATCAAGCCTGCAGTCGGCAAGTCTGATAAAGAACGAATCAGGCGCCTCTCAAACTGCAGCATATCTTGCTTCACCCCATCGCGTGTGCCAGCACTGCTGATGGCGAGCCGCGCGCCGGGCGTGAGCATCATGAGAAGAAGCAGTAGGAAGAGGACTGCCGCCTCGATCTGAAAAGGCACCGCGTAAGGTAGGCCACGGGCTGTGCTGAACCCAGCGACGAGCATGCCGAGGCCGGAGCCAACACCGGCTGCGACGCAGCCGGAGAGGTTGATCCAGAGCGGCAAGGATGCCTCGTCTGCCCATTTCACCACCCAAAGTGGGGCCCACACCCACTGCAGCCCTTCAGACATCCCAATCAACAGCTTCGTTGAGTACATGACGTAACTGTTCATGGTCATGGCAAAGACCGCACTCGCGAGGACGTTGACGAGAAGGCCCAAGGAGAGCAGGACCTTTGAAGACACGGACTGAAGGACATAGCCCCAGATCCCTGCGGAGAGGGTCATTCCAATCTTGTCCATGGCGCCCAGGAAGCCGAGTGATGTCTCACTCCACCCGCCTGACTGCTGGAGAGTGTCCACTGTGGCAGCCGTCGCCCCACCGTTGTAGGCCATGAACATCGGCACAGCCACGCCGAACAGCCAGAAGATGGACTCCTTGCTGAAGCACTCCATGGGAGGGTCATGGGCTCTTTGGCAGGGGGACCTGGAGCACAGCATGCTTCGGCACTGCTGTGAGTCACCAGCCTTTTGCCTTACTCCAAGCACACGGCGCGAGACGTCGAAGCTCCAAACGCCCCCCGCCCCCTCCCCTCCCCCCCGACACCCCGAAACTCGGGCGTCACGGCCTCAAACCCCACATGAGCTTCCCGAAGCTCTACAGTAGACACAGCTGCCAAGCCAGGCTTATAGGTTCTAGGGCTTCGAGCACCTATGGTCTCAAGAAAGGGAGAGGTCCCTCAACTACTAGGTGCATGCTACAAATCGCTGGGGGGTAGGGAGTAAGGGTCTAGGATGTTCCCTCAGTGCACCCTAGACCCTAACACCCAAACTTGTGCCCCAAACCCAGAAGTAGTCTTAGGGAGGCACTCTGCTTCCCCTTAAACCGTCTAAAGGCTCTTGCTCTGAATGCAAACGTCATGTACTTGACCGAGGCGGGGCGTTAGGCTCTTTAGCAGCTCCAGGACTCTTAACGCTGGCACCTAGACTCTAAACCCTAAACCAAGAGTTGCCTCACCATAAACAGTCCGTACAGTGACTTGGGGTATACCAGGGGAGCCCATTGATTCTGGGAGCTTCCCAGAGCTCCACCGATTCTGGATTTGGGTTTTGGAGTTTAGGGACAAGGGTTTAGGGTTAGAGGTTTTGGGGTTTGGGGCTTGTATAGTAAGCTGCAGAAAGTTGGAACGTCATTCTCCTAACGCCCTTAAAGGTAAAGTACAGGGAACCGCAGCACTAATCATCCTAAACCCATGTTCCAACTTTCTGGAGTTCACTACTTAGTTGCTGAGTTCATGAGCCCCCAAAAAGTGTACACTGTCAGTTCTATAGGGCATTCTAGTATCCCAAGAAGTGTATAAAGTGTTCTCACTCAGCTACTCACAGACTATAGTAGCTCAGACGGCTTGTAGATGGCCAAACCCTAAACCCTAAACCCTAAACCCTGAACCTAAACCCTGAACCCTAAACCCTAAACCCTAAACCCTAAACCCTGAACCCTAAGAGGGTGGTCGGCTTCGGGGGGGAAGTTGGAAGGCCTGGGGATGGGCTTTAGGGGGGGTTTTAGGGTTTTAGGGTTTTAGGGTTTTAGGGTTTTAGGGTTTTAGGGCGTTTGAGGGTTTTAGGGTTTTAGGGTTTAAGGGTCTTAGGGGTTTAGGGCTTTAGGGTTTTAGGGTTTTAGGGTTTTAGGGTTTTAGGGATGTAGGGTTTAGGCTTTAGGGCTTTGGGGTTTAGGGTTTAGGGTTTAAGGTCCGTAGGGTTTCGGTCTAAGGTTTAGGGTTGCCAGTGGTCGCCCTGATTTTCGCGCCGCCAGGATCAGCTTTCGTCGGAGGCGCTCTTTTTCTTCTTCTCCTTCTTCGGCTTCCTTGCGCTAGCACCCCACGTGAAGGTTCAGTCATAAGTGGGGCTAGAACTGGCTATAACCGTATTTCAGGTACTTATAACCCTACTTCTAACTACCCAGGAGCCTCCAAGCAGGCCCTTGATTCCCAAACACCCCCACAGTTCACCAAGGCGGGGCGCGGAACGCAGCCTGATTCTGGATCAACTGAGAGAATACTGAACACAACACGCCACCGTTGTTTACATTGACCAGCTAAAGGGTGGGTTTAGGCTAAAGGAAATAGGAGGAGCACAGTGTCTTGCATCCGTATTCGCGGCCTCTAATCCGCACGAAGCCTATTAAAATCCCAAAACACCCCAAACCCCACAAACACACACAACCGTCCACCTAAACCCCAAAACCCTAAAACCCGAAAACCCTGAACCCTAAAACCACAAAAGTTTTAAACCCTAAAATCCTAGAATCAAAAAACCCCTAACCCTAAAACCCTTCTCCGAGTCGTTGTGGCAGTCGGGAGGCTTGCTTTTCTTCTCCTTGCCTTTGGACTCCTGGCTGCGGGCTTCCAAGGACTGCGGTTCTTGCTGAGGGCATGGTGCGGAGGGCTTCCGGTTTGGGGTTTAGGGTTTAGGGCTAGGGTTTAGGGCTTAGAGTAGGGCTCAGGGTTTAGGGCCCAGGGCTTGGGTTTAGGGGTGTGTCATGAGGCCTGCAGGTTCTACCTCCCTGAACCCTAAAACCCTAGACCCTTCAACCTCAGCACTGAACCCGCGCGATTCAAGAGCTTACCACCTCAACCATCTCAACACCCCCCCTGAAGGCCTTTCCCAGATGATTAGGAGTTAGGGCCTTGGGGTTGGTTCAGGGGTAACCCTAAACCCTAAACCCTAAACCCTAAACCCTAAACCCTTAACCCTTAACCCTAAACCCTAAACCCTAAACCCTAAACGGGGTTTCGGGTTTGCCCTGGACTCCAAACCGCTTGGATGCTCCTTCTGCTCGGACAGCTGCTTGAGCTGCTCCAGCTTCTTCCTCGGCTTCTCAGAAGTTGTTGAAGAAAACCACGGTTCCCCAAAGTTCAGCTCCAATTAGACGGTTTAGGGTTTAGGGCTTAGGGTTTAGGGTTTAAGACTCCCAGGGAACTAAGGCACAACATTCGGGCATTGCTATCCACGACAGGGATCAGTTGCCTGGCTCTATGTCGCGGGCAGGGGCAATGATTATGAGGATGGGCCATAAACGCATGCTAGACACTGCCGTTCGAAAGGTTTGGGTCTAGAGTAGCGCCCGAGTCTCTTCTGCTTCTCGAGTTTCTTCTTGACTTTCTTCGCTTTCTTTGTCATCTCGGCCGAATCGCCTTAGGTGCAACAGCAGCACAGAGAGGCTGCACCAGGATTCTTCGAGGTTTGTACTAAAAGGCTTCACTCAGCCCAAAAGATACCAAAGGGCCCTGACCTCTTGCCGCTTAGCGACTTTCGTCCGAGGATTCGACCTGCATCCTCTTTAGCGCCTCCTCCTTCTCCTCGACACCAGAGACCCCCGCACCCGTCTCCCACACAGGAGCCCCTAAGGCCCCTAAGGCCCAGGACACCTGAGTCCGCATCTGCAGCTTCATGTGGCTTCATGTGCTTTGCGTAAAGCCTAACCCCCTAAACAAGGGGTGTTTTGGGGGGACTCATGTCACTTTCGATTCTGAGAAGAGCACCAGTGTCAGTGGCACACACACACACACACACACTTTGGCTTGGCATGAACTGATGCAGTGATCACGGTACCAACATGTACCAACCACCAGACCCACAACACACTCAAGAGGAGTCAAGAAGAAGGGAAGAATGAAAAGGAGCATGGTTGCCTGCCTCGGGACTTCAGGGTACATGATGTCACAAGCAGTGTGGTATCCCACTCTACATGCAGGTACGTCCAGGTGATCAGCCTGGATATCCTCCCAACTCATAAGCAGCTTCATTGGCAGTGAGCTTATGAGCGGGTCACTGCCCCCTGCAAATGGAAATGTCAGTCACAGCGATCACCATGTTCAGGCGTTTACACACACACACACACGCCCCGAAGGGCGAAAAGGACGCGAAGAAGCAAGCTGGTGTCAGCAAGCCAGTCATGAACAGCAACAAGAGAGGAGGCAGAGACAACAAAACAGGAACGACACCAGGAGGCAACAAGAAACGCGAAAACAACAAAACAGGGGGTCAGACAGCATCATGGGAGGACAGTCAATGACATGTCTGTTTAAGGATTCCGGATACCTTGAGCGCGTGCCTACCTGGTCCTCCTACCTGCACATGCACAGACGATCTACCTGCACTCCTAGGGAAAGCACATGTTCAGCAAGCTGTCTCTACTGATCAACCCTTGACCGCGGCCCTTGACCGTGCAGTGACCGATGATCCCGATGAAGCCCACTGTGGGCACATGTCATCCTACTGCAGATGATCCCGATGGATGAGAACAAGCGTCTGCAACGTTGTGATTCACTCATCCGCTATCGCGGGCTCGGGCACATGCCCCTGAGATCTGGCCCCATGTCGGGAAAAACCAGAACTGGTACACACTTTGGCTTGGCATGAACTGATGCAGTGATCACGGTACCAACATGTACCAACCACCAGACCCACAACACACTCAAGAGGAGTCAAGAAGAAGGGAAGAATGAAAAGGAGCATGGTTGCCTGCCTCGGGACTTCAGGGTACATGATGTCACAAGCAGTGTGGTATCCCACTCTACATGCAGGTACGTCCAGGTGATCAGCCTGGATATCCTCCCAACTCATAAGCAGCTTCATTGGCAGTGAGCTTATGAGCGGGTCACTGCCCCCTGCAAATGGAAATGTCAGTCACAGCGATCACCATGTTCAGGCGTTTACACACACACACACACCGCCCTCCTGCTAAAAAGGCGCTTCCACTCTGATACATTGACAACCCGTCAGCCCTTAAACCGGGTTTAGGGTGTAGGGTTTGGGGTTTGGGGTTCAGGGTTTAGGGTTTAGGGTTTGGGGTTTAGGATTTAGGGTTTAGGGTTTAGGGTTTAGGGTTTAGGGTTTAGGACCACCAGCCTCATTCTCATCCTTCCATGCGAAGTCTGAGCCAAAGCCCCCATTGGCCGCGGTGATGGCCGCAGCAGCACCCTGGCCACCAAAGACACCGGAGAGGCATGCTGAACCCTAAACACCCTAAAACCCTAAAACCCTAAAACCCTAAAACCCTAAAACCCTAAACACCCTAAACACCCTAAACACCCTAAACACCCTAAACCTTAACCCTCAACCCTTAACCCTTAAACCTCCCAAACCCCAAACCCTCAACCCTCAAACCTAAGCCCTTAAACCCTAAACTGTAAGGATGCTCATCTGCCCTCCTGAGCCGGCTTAGGGCTTAGGGCTTAGGGCTTAGGGTTTAGGGCTTAGGGTTTGGGGTTTAGGGTTAGGGTTTAGGGTTTAGGGTTTAGGGTCTAGGGTTTAGGGTTTAGGGTTTGGGGAAGGGGGGGGGGTAGGGAGGCAGGCGGGGAAGTGCCTGGATGTGCTTCAGCTGCTGCTTGGGGAAGACCTCGGAGCAGGGACTGAGAAGGGTCCATCTACTGGGATCAGCTACCTCCTAAACCCTAAACCCTAAACCCTAAACCCTGAACCCTAAACCCTAAACCCTAAACCCTAAACCCTGAACCCTGAACCCTAAACCCTAAACCCTAAACCCTAAACCCTAAACCCTGACCCCTAAACCCTAAACCCTAAAACCCTAAACCCTAAACCCTCCTTCTCCCGCATACCCTTTGTTCTCCCCAACTATGCATCCAGCACCGTCTGTGTGTGTGGGGTTCTGGGCCAGGAGTCCTCTACGTTTCAACCGGACACCCTCCACCTGAAATTGAATACATACTCCTGCGTCTTCCCTACGCTGAACTTGAGCCGGAAAACTCTGTTTCCTCTTGGCTGTAAAGCATCTAGATGGTCAAATCCAACCGGTGCAATGGCGCGGAAGATGGGAGAAAATGTTGTCACGTGGTGCCAACTGCCAATCAATCACGTACTGCATTCTCTTGGAACCCAATCAAAATGCCCAAACCACAATGCCCAAACCGGTAGGCTTCAAGGTACACATTAGCCTCAGCCACCAATTTCATAGATGTTCTAAGCAAAAACGAACCGTCACACCAGCTAAATCTTGACTTAGAATCCGCTCCACACTGAAAAGCACACGGCCAATTTGTGACCGCTCCCAGCGTCAATGAAACATACTCGGGGCCTAATAGAAAGCACCTGGGGGATCGCACATTGAAAGGAGGTCTCAAGAGTTTGGCACATCCAGTCCCAAGCAAGTCCTCATGAATTTATGTGGGGGTTTACGAAATAGGGGACCCCTTAAATAGACCCCTAATACTAGGATTCCCTCATAATAAGGACCCCAAGAAGGTACCACTAATATCGTAAACCCCCCATTTTTGTGCTGGGAAGACTGGCAAATGTCAACTGTCATGCAGCTCGTAGTCTGGAGCTCATTCAACCTAGGACTAGGGCACTCTCCAGGCCTAGAAGGTCCCAGAAAACTCAGGCAAAAGCACAACAAAGTTCCACATCCTGGGCAGCCTCATGTTGTCTTTAAGGCCTTGTTTCACATCGGGTTCAAGGTTCAGGATTCAGGGTTCAGGGTTTGGGGTTTAGGGCTAAGAGACCATGAATTGCTGAAAAAGCCCGACGCAAGCCCTAGAACGACTCTGACCGGCAGCCCCTTGACTCCTCCCTTTGCCGCCGACGCCACCCAACCCACATCGGCGGGCACGCGGCCGCGGCCGTTGAAGGGATCCAGGTCTCTGCCATCCTTCCCCGAAACCGCTTTGGTCAACCTCGAACCCTACATGGCCCGGACCACCAACATGGGGGGGGGGGGTTCAGGAGTAGCGCTGCCCATTCTGAGATGTCTTCCAGGATCTGCTGAGCATTTGAAACCCCAGATGTGGCCCTTGCCCCCTTCTGTCGTGTGAGGTGGCACGCCTCTAACGCAGTTACGTGCGATTTTGCGCCGTTTGCTATGACGAACAAGTGCATCTGAGCAAACTGGCGAGCTAACATTGTTCGTTCGCATACACCTTGTTACCACAACTGCATTGATTGATCAAGAATCATTCCCAGACACCCAATTCCCGCAACACCGAGCATGTTCAGGGGACCACAAAGTTCCAAGAAGGCTTCGTCAGAGTCTCATAAAGAGATGCCAGCAGATAAACCCTAAACCCCTAAAGCCCGAAATCCCAAACCCTAAAACCCTAAATCCACAGGCCCCAGCGCACCTCTTGGTGGACGAACCTCGCTGGGCTGCTGGGATGCGGGGTCAAAGGGCTCAGGAGGCTCAGGCTGCCCCAGGGGGCTTAGGGCTCAGGGGGCTCAGGGGGCTCAGGGGGCTCAGGGGGCTCAGGGGGCTCAGGGAGGGTTGAAGGGCTTGATGGGTTCAGGGGCTTCAGGGGTTCATGGTGAGAGCTCACCACCCTGGAGTTGCAGGGCGGATGCCTTCAACCTCCACTTGCTGCTTGGCAGCCGCATGTCTAAGGCGTACTTGCCGTTGTCCTCCTGGACGTTCGCTTGGCAAAGTCGGGAAGTCCGGTGGTGATCCGCATGTGTTTAGGGTTTAGGGTTTAGGGTTTAGGGTTTGGGGTTTGGGGTTTAGGGTTTAGGGTTTAGGGTTTAGGGTTTAGGGTAATTCTGAATGGGTGAGAAACAGCTCTTAACTCGTATCATGAAACCGGGTCAGCCGGAGCCAGCCAACCCGCCATGGACCTTGACCTCATCCTTCCCTTGCAACATTCGGGAGGCTAGGTTTGGGAATGCCTGGGCCAGGCACCTCGAGCTCGAAACTGAACCCTCTAGTTAAACGCGACCACCCCTCACTTTCGAGGGGCGAGAGGGGCCCTTCTGCGGACACGGCTTACCCAAATGCCCCTTCCTAAAGGATCTACCTTTCGTCACAAGATCCCGTATGTAGCCTGAGGCATTTGCTTAGGTAAAGTGGGGTTGGCGAGGCACCTCGGATAACCGAACTCCCGGGCAATAAAGGAAAACACAACGAACTACCTTCGCTCACTAGTTGGGTGTGGTCTGAACTGAGAGGGTGGCAAATTTGGAGGTGGATTTATGTTTTGCAGGTCTTGGGGTCCGGAGTTTGGGGTGTACAGCGCAGGGTCTTCGTTTCAAGGCAAGTGGCATCCACGTCGCGGACTTTGACCTGTGATGGCAAAGCTCCACTTGGAGGGTTGGGGGTTTCTGGCTTAGGGTTCAGGGGTTCAGGGCTTGGGGAGGTTCATAGGGGCGGACTTGCCGGGTTACAAATAAAGTAACTACAGTCACAAGCGGTCGTCTCTATTTCGGGGCTAAGTACTAATACCCCTACTGCTTGCCTACCCCCCCCCCAAACCCCAAACCCTACATACAAAGCCTTGGCGCCTGAAGCATCCCAGTCCACACAAAGGCTTTGAAAGCCCAAGCAAGCCGAAACACGCAAAACCTGTGGAGCCCCAATAAACTTTGCTATCCGAAGCCCACGACCACACCTCTCCCCCCCCAAAAACACCCTAATACAGGGAAACCCTAAATCCTATGAAGCCAGAGACCCCTAGCAGGCGGCCATACTGCAGAACCTACATCCCAGAGAACCTCCCTGCTAGACCCCAAGATATACTCTCCTCCTTACTACGATACTCCCCTTAGAACCTTAATAAAAACAAATCAATCACAACTCCCAAGGGGGTATATGACTAGAGGAACGCAAAGGGCCCCCCCCCCCCCCCTCTTTTGTCGAAACCCGGCGAAGCGGTCCGAGCAGCCCAGACTTTGTCGCCCTCCCGGACGACGGAGTTCACCTGAGCTGGGCGTGCCCCAGCCTTGATCCTCTGAGGCTCTGCTAGAGCTAGGTTTAGGGTTTAGGGTTTAGGGTTTAGGGTCTAGGGTTTAGGGTTTAGGGTTGAGGGTTGAGGGTTGAGGGTTTAGGGTTTAGGGTTTAGGGTTTAGGGTTGAGGGTTGAGGGTTTAGGGTTTCCAAGCCCTCAACTCCCCTAAGCCCCTACACTCATCGACCCTCATTCCCTCCCCCGCCCCTTGTGTTCAAGATGTCCGCGATTACACGAGTAGCCTACACCGGGCACCCTTTGTTGCTTCTGCCCCGGGGCTAGAACCCGGAAGGCCCTGGGAGGCAGCCTTGCCATGCTGCATGGGAAAGAACGCCTGCAAACTGCCTGAGAAGAAGGCCGTTCAAGGCCCCTAAACTCTAAACCCTAAAAACCCCAAAAAATCGCCAAACATCCGGAACCCCTTTTGTGGGTCCCAGGAGCCACTTCCAGCCTCTCCACACCCGGAGGCGCTGGCAGGCAGCCGATGTGGAGAAAGCCGTCCTTGTACTTCTCGCCTTTCCCTGGGTTTGTAGGGTTTAGGGGGATTATAGGGTTTGGGAGGGTTTTACCGGGTTTTTGTAGGGTTTTTGGGATTTATGCGGCTTTTGTAGGGCTTTTAGGATTTCTAGGGTTTATGGGATTTTATAGGGTTTATTGGGGGTTATAGGGCGTGGGGTTCTTCAGGGTTCTCGAAGGGCTTCGGGTAGCTTGGATGAAAACCACCAGTGCCTTGCGTCTGGGCCCTCAAGATCTTCCCGACACTTTGTCCGAACGGGTGGCAGGTTTTTCATAGCTAACCCAATGTTACCTAGCATTCCGTAAAAAAGCGTACTCCTGGAGACCCTCCCTTAAGGATGCTAGAGGAAAGCAGATTCCACCAGGGTTTAGGGCCAGGATGGCTGCCGGCAAGTGGCCAAGCTGGACGAAAGCTCCATACTCCTCGCGCGCGAAGCCCCAAGCCCCGAACCCCGAACACTTGGGAGAATGGTTGTAGGCGCTGCGTGTCTACTGGGAGTTGGGGTGGGGTCGGGAGTTGAGGGAGGCTTCTCGGGCTTGGGGGGGGGCTGTTGCTTGGGGACATCAAGGCTTCCAAGGGCATCCCCGATGTCGTTTCTAGGGCAGTTTCGGAGTTTAGGTTTAGGGTCTAGGGTCTAGGGTCTAGGGTTTAGGGTTTAGGGTTTAGGGTTTAGGGTTTAGGGTTTAGGGTTTAGGGTTTAGGGTTTAGGGTTTAGCCACAGGGAGCGTTTGCAGGGTGTTGCTGGGAAGTCGAAGTCCCTGTTGAGGGTTCGAGGGGGGTTTTATGACATCTTCTCTGGTCTTGTAAGAATAAGCACGATACGTTCAGCAAGTGCTGCAACAGCAGCTCATTGTTTATCGACATGGGCCCCAGATCAAGGTTATCCAATTGAATTAATAATTAATTGCAGGTATTGGACCTGGATGTAAACACGCATTGGTGGACTCCTGGTGGACACTGGGTCACAACACCCGCCCCCAACCCTGCATGGGCTTTCGGCTTCAAGCGTGGGTTGAAGCTTCAAGCTTGGGTTGAAGCTATGCAGGCTTTAGGGAGTTCGGTTTGCGGTGTGGGGTTTGGGGTTTGGGGTTTAGGGGTTAGGGTCCTACGTGTACGCTTCTGACCGTTAGACCTTCAACCCCAACCCCGAACAACCCTAACCTCAACCAACCCCCAACACCGCTGCTTGCATCAACCCCCGACACCCCAAGCCCCTATACCCCACACCGCTACAGTTACACCTTCCTGGCAGTCCAGCAACCATACCACCACCAAAGTACCCAAACTCTAAACCCCAAACCCTGGACCCTGAACCCTAAACCCTAAACCCCTGGACCCGAGACCCTAACCCTAAACCCTAAACCCTAAACCCTCAAACCTATTGGCTTGAGGAACCCAGAGGCCGAGAAATTGCACCAAGCCTTGGTACACACGATGATGCCGCGGTGGATGGAGTTCTCGCGGGGGAGCGCGGTGCCTTCGGGGGTTCGTCAGGGGGGTTTAGGGTTTAGGGTTCGGGTTTAGGGTTTGGGGTTTAGGGTTTGGGGTTTGGGGTTTGGGGTTTGGGCTTTGGGCTTTGGGCTTTGGGCTTTGGGCTTTGGGCTTTGGGCTTTGGGGCTTTGGGTTTTGGGTTTTGGGGCTTGGGGTCTGGGGTTTGCGGTTTGGAGTTTGGGGTCTGATTTCAAGTGCACATCTCGAGACTCCTGGAGTTTAGGAAGTCTCGGCAGCTTAGGATTTCGGCGGGGAACCCGGCTCGAAACCCCGAAGCCCGTGGTGTTCGGGCTGCTCGCTGCTTAGGGCACCCTGAACTATGAAGGAATGGCCCCACTACACACTAAACCTGAAACCCTAAACCCTAAACTCTAAACCTTAAACCCTAAGCCCTAATCCATAAGCCCTAAGCCCTAAGCCCTAAGCCCTAAACCCTAAACCCTAAACCCTAAACCCTAAACCCTAAACCCTAAACCCTAAACCCTAAACCCTAAACCCTAAACCCTAAACCCTGGCACGCAAGCTCGAAGAGGTGGCCTGTCGTTCGCTTTCGCGCCAGGCCAGTGCTCTTCCTCGGTGCTCTTGGTGTTTGGGTGAACTGAGAGAAATGTGCTGCGGGCGCAGACATGCTTGAAGGTGAAGTTTTTGGGCATGGAATTTTGGGCAGTCGAGCGCTCCCTTCTGCAGAGGGTGGGCGACGGTGCAAAACTCTACTTTCGGTCATCCAACAAATGACGATGCGCTGCGACAAGCAGAGCGGACAGTGAGTATTATGAAGTTTCACTCCCCCGGCCAAGCAAAGCCTAAGGGAGGTGCCAGACGCCACAGAGCCCTGAGGTTCGGGGCTGTATCCTGATCCCTAACAGCCCCACAAATGCCACACTTGGCGCCCCAGACCGTCAGCTGATGACCCCCTCGCAAGCCCTAGAAGCCCCAAACGGCCAGCTTAGCTAAACTAGGGTCCCGCTTTTGAGCTCCCGGGCCTAGAGCCTTTCTCTCATGACTCATGCTGCTGCGGGAAGGATCTGGAACTGCGACCCGTCACCATAGTCGCGATATGCCCCAGCCTTGCAGGGAATGGGGGGGCTGGAGCATTGGGGCCTTTGCTAGGAGGGTTTCAACTGAAAGGACCGAAATTTTCGCGTTTTGTTTGGACACATGGGGGCTTGGTGGCCTTCTGCGCATGCCCGGTGTCGGGCTTCGAGATCCGGAACTGGCCGGCGACGAAGCCAATCATCGGGACTAGCTATGTACAGGGGCGTCCCGGATGTTTTGGGGGGCTCGGGCATTGGTAGGAGTGACTCTATGGACCCTCGGCGGCTAAAGAGGGTCTCCCAAGGGTCACTCAACAGAGAGTACTTCTTGGGGTCTGGGTCCTGAAGGTACCGACTGCTGGAGTGCCTGCGTGCACGCTGAAGGGCTGAAGAGCCAGATGGCCAGTTCTCCAAGTTAAGAGGCCCCTTCGGGGTTCCCCATTCTTCTACACAGCCGTCTTGGGATGCTGTAGGGCTGCAAAGGTCTGCCACTCAAGGTACCCTTCGACTTAGAGACTCCGCGCCCCAGATGAAGCAGACGGACACGTGAATATTGAGATGCATCCCCAAACCCCAAACCCCAAATCCTAAGCCCCATAAACCTTGAACCCTTTCAAAGAGCTTCCCTAAGCCTTGCAAAAGCGCAAGCAGACCCTGTGCGCAGCCCTGAAGCGCCCCAAACCCGCAGCCCACTTTGCTCTTCAACGCTCGCAGGCCGGGGATTTTTTTCCTCAGAAGCCGGCGCCTTGGCAGTGGGGCCAGGGGGCCGATGATCGCCAAATCTGTGGGGTTTCTCCGGTTTGTGAGAAAGATTAGGGCAAGAATCTTCACATCAAGTCCTACAATACTCAGAGCTCCCTTCCAACGCCCACTTCCACCACCTCGGAAGTCCTTGAACGAGACCAGCCGAATGCATATCACAAGAAGCGCACCTCTCCCGCAGACAGATTAGGGTTTAGGGTTTAGAGTTTAGGGTTTTAGGGTTTAGGGTTTAGGGTTTAGGGTTTAGGGTTCAGGGTTCAGGGTTCAGGGTTTAGGGTTTAGGGTTTAGGGTTTAGGGTTTAGGGTTTAGGGTTTAGGGTTTAGGGTTTAGGGTTTAGGGTTTAGGGTTTCTCGAGTGGGCGCGCTGGTGCTGAAAGCACCCAGGCGCGTGCCCCGATTTGCATAAGCCCACCCCCGCTGGCGCTCCACCCTCGCCTTAACCTCTACGGGTTTAGGGTTCTTTTGAACTCTGATCGTGTTTTTGTCATTTTTCTCTTATCCATTGGTTGGGTTTAGAAGCTCGGCATCGACGCAGATCAACTACCCTGAAGCTCGCAGCCCCTAGGCATTGCAAGGGAGATGTCTATCAGTCGAGGGCTGCTGGGAGAGCCAAAAGTCAGAGGTTTGGGCTTGGGGCTGGCTGCCGCCTTCGCCCTCTGCGATGCTGCGTGTTGGGTGGGGATTTGGAAAACTTGCTTGGAAGGGCGTGAAATCAGAGGTTTGCATCATTCGAGGGCTTCTGGGAGGGCCAAAAGGTCAGAGGTTTGGGATTGGGCTGGCTGCCGCCTTCGCGCCTGAAGTCAAAGGGGTGGGATGGGCGGTTGCTGTTGCCTTCGCTTTCGTGTGGCCTTGTGAGTCTTTCTAAAAGTGCCAAAAACCCAAAGGTTTGGGCTTGGGGCTGGCTGCCTTCGCCCTTGGTGATGCTGCGTCCTGGTTGGGGATCTCGATCCCTTGCTTGAAAGGGCCAGGGGCCTCAGGCCAAGGCCTGCTTTTCAGGCAGGGTTCAGGCAAAAGGTTTCCGGCAAGCAGGAGATCCAGTCCCAGGCAGGGGGCCACAGCCTCCCAGCAATTCTTTCTAAAAGTGCAAAAACCCGAAGGTTTGGGCTTGGGGCTGGCTGCCGCCTTCGCCCTGGATGCTGCGTCCTGATTGGGATCTGGATCCCTTGCAAAAGACCTCAGACCAGCCAAGGCTTGCTTTTAAAGGTTTCTGGTAAGCACACATCCTCCCACACCAGGTCCAGGGCCAGGGCCAGGGCCAGGGGCCAGGGCCAGGGCCTTGGCGGTTGCCATGTTTTACCCGAAGGTTTGGGGTATCTTATTCTAGGGCGACCTGACGGGTTTCTCGCCGGGTCCACCGCGCAGCCCGGAGCTGCCTGCGGGACTGGAGCTCCGTCGCCCGCCGGAGGGCTTCTGGCTCCGGAGCCGCCTCGCCTGCCGGCTTCGGCGCGTTCGCCCTGCTCGACGGCCCCAGGCTCACTCAGTTTAGGGTTTAGGGTTAGGGTTTCGGGTTTCGGGTTTCGGGTTTAGGGTTTAGGGTTTAGGGTTTAGGGTTTAGGGTTGGTTATCATGTGAACATGAATCTCGTTCGGCAAGGCATCTGTGCGATGGTGCTGCCTTCGATGCCCACCAAGGTCGCAAAACCCGACTGGCCCCCTACTACAACCACGACCTCGAAGCAGCCTGAATGTACAGCCCCCAACCCTAAACCCTAAACCCTAAACCCTAAACCCATGATGGGGCGCGAACGCTTCGAGTGCAGCGCGTCAAACAGCGCCTCCCGGCAGCAGAATCTCATCCAGAGAATCATTTTCCTAGGAGCCTATCACCATAAACCCTGATGGGCGGCCTGTTCTAGTCTGGACTTTCGAGGGTGGGGCTTATTTCCCCAAAACTTGAGGCTTGGGAATGGGTTTAACCAGGGTTTGAGAGCAGAAACGGATCAGGGTCTAGGGTTTATGGTAGGCTTACTTGAGGTCCAGGCCTGAAAGGCCGAGATCGGCGGCCGACCAAAAACCTCAAACTCGTAGCTGCTAAATCTAAGGGCACCCTTACAGGTACCTTTCAGAAGGTTGCATACCTGAACCCTGAACCCCCACCCCCACACCCCAAAAAAAATGAAATGGAATGAAACAATGCCTTCTTTGGCACTCCGCAGATCTTTGCAGCCAGGGCAATGGCACGGCCTTCAGGGCCCCATGCGGTACGGGTGGCTTCTAGGTAGGAGTTTGGGGTTGAGGGCAAGTTGAGGGTTTAAAACGAGGAGGTTTCGACCTAAGCCCTCAGCCCTAGGACTCACGCCTTGCAAGCCCCTGGAGCACCAAGACCCCTCAATCCATCTTCAAGACCCAAAACGTGCTTTCCTCTTTTGGTCACCTGCCAATCACACATAAAAGGGCTTTACAGCAATGGCCTACCACAAGTATGCTTGGAGTTCTCAAACCCTAAACCCTAAACCCTAAACCCTAAACCCTAAACCCTAAACCCATGTGTGGGACCATTGCTCAGGCGCCAGCTGGTGGGGATCTCCGTGCTCAGTAGCCGCACCACCTCGCGCGAGGGTTCTGGTTTCCTGGGGTTCAAGAGAGAGCCCTAAACCCTAAACCCTAAACCCTAAACCCTAAACCGCAAAGGATTCAGGGTTCAGGGTTTACGGCTACGGGTCGCTACAATTTGAAGCGCGACAATCCGAAGATGTACTGGTTCAGGGCTGTTTTAGGTCTGGGGTTGAGGGTTTAGGGTTCAGGGCTTAGGGCTCGTGGTGATCGTGATGTTTCTAGGTCTGGAAGCTGTTGGGGTGCTGCACATCTTGTCTGTCTGAGAACCAAGACACATCGCAACCCTTCGCATTCCTTGCACGCCTATGCCGTGGCCAAAAAGAGGTTGGCGAAAGGTTTGGGATTTAGGGCCCAAGGCCTGAGATACCAAGCCCTGTCGCACTCTAGGACTTGTAGCTCAACCCTGACTCCCTTCAGAAACCCTAAACCCTAAACCCTAAACCCTAAACCCTAAACCCTCAACCCTAAACCCTAAACCCTAAACCCTAAACCCCAACCCTAACCTCAGCTCACCAAGGGCGGCGACTGACCTCCTTCGCTTCGGGCACCGCTGACTCCACCTCCGGCGGCCGTTCCGCTGCGGGCGCCAGGAGCAAAACAAACTCACCGCGCCTGGAGATGAAGGATTTAGGGTTCAGGGTTTAGGGTTTAGGGTTTAGGGTGAGCGGGCCCTGTGCTATACACAAGTCAGGGGCTTGGAGTTTAGGATTTGCTTGATGATGGAAGGGCTGGGGGTTCTCCAGCTGTCGGATGGTGACAGATGTTCGGGAGCTTACGTGGCAAGAAATTTGCTTGGTAGTTTATTCTCAAAGCGTTCACTGGATCTTGTCAGATGTTTGGTCAGAGTGGCGAACGCAAGCCGAGTGTCAGTTCCCCGACACAAACATTCTCTTGGGCTTCGAGTTGAGGATTTAGGGACGTGCTTGAGGTTACGCTGGGCACTTGCTGAGATGAGGAGCTGGTTGTCGGGATTGTCGCGAACCTCTGCCAACACCTCCTCAGCAGTGCCTGCGGAGGAACAGGGACAAGACATAAACCCAAAACCCCTAGACCCCGAGACCCTAAGCCCCGAACCCCAGAGAGCCCACAACCCCCTGCTGGAGCTACACACTGTAGGCTTCTGCTTGCCTAACCTGCTGAGGCTGTGCGAAACAAATACAGCCGGGCAAGCAGCCTAATCCGCGTAAACACTACACCCCAACTTAGGAATCTTGGGGGGTTCTCCAAATGGCCTGAAAGGATGGTCTCGTGCCGCTTCGTCAGCTCCCGCGCAAGCACCACCGTCCTCCCCAGCACGCTAGAAAGCTAGAAACCCTGCTGCGGCTCGGGCTTCGGGTTCAGGGCCTAGGGTACAGGGTTTAGGGTTTAGGGTTTATAAGGGTTTAGGGCTTTGACTGCCGACACAGTCGGCCGTTCTATAACCGGAGAGATTCTGTTTTGGTTGGAGGGGGTTGTGGGTTCTCAAACCTTCATCGAACTGTTTTCCGGGCTTCCTGAGGCGAATCCCAGCAGGCCCGGGTCGTCACAAGAAGAACCCCTGCAAAAAACTGAGGTCTTTCAAGGGGGAGATTGGGCCTTTCTGGGAAACCTCAAAAGAAGGCAGCAAAGTAGCTCGCCTCAACGCGTCGCCCTCGTCTGCCAGCAGCTCCACCAGCAGCTCCATGGTACTCCTTGTAAGGACCACGGATTTGGTTACCCCCAACACCCGAAAGAAGAAATGTGCCACCTCCTGTGACTACCACAGGACTCATTGCGTGCAGGTCACCACAAAAACTCCTGTCTTTTCTTACCACCAAGGTTAGGGCACAAAGGGTCATTCTCACCTAAGCCCCACGTGCAGCCACAAACCCAAGAACCCTTAAACCCCCCTACTTGGAGGTTCATGGGTAGTTATAAGTAGGGTTATAAGTACCCTAAACAAAGTTATAACCAGGTATTTGTATAGTTACCCTACTTATAGCCCCACTTCTAACTACCCGGTCAACTACCCATGAACCTTCAAGTAGGACCATCTGCCCAGCTTCAGAATGCGGTGCGGCGCTTCGAAAACCACCAGCGTCGCCGGCGAGCCGCTGCTGGCCTCCGGTTCATCCCGTGCGCAGCAATGTTGGTGATAACACGCTGCGATCTTAAGGGAAAGTGCTGAAGCCTGAGGGGCTGAGGCTACTAGGGAGTAAGGCTTGGCCAGGACTGAGAGGAGTGTTTCAGAGGGTGTGGGACCCTCTTCCTCGAAGATGCAAGGCTCGAAGCTTTGGGGCCAAAGACTTTGCGCTCCTGTGAGCATCGGGTTGCCTGGCGCACGAGTTGTTGCAGCTGGCTCCTGCCGACGTTGGTCAGAAGCACACAGGGTTTAGGGCTTAAGGGTTAGGGTTTATGGTTTAGGGATTAGGGTTTAGGGTAGTCCAGAGATAGTCACTGGGACCTTACTGAATGGATCTGGGGATCGAAGGGGAAAGGCTGCATGGGCTCCTGCTCCAGGGACATGATACAGATTCGCGAGACGTGTTCTACAAGAGCCAAATGATTTCTACCTCCGAAGGACGTGGGTTTCCCCAACACGCCCTGAAAACTGCAAATATTTGGAAAAGCCCTAAACCCCAAAAACCCAAAACTCTCGGCCCGGGACATAGGGCAAGCATGATCCCTTGAATCGAAGCCTTGCATGAACCCCTTTAACCCAATCAGGGCTTGTAGTTTAGGGTTGTTTCTTGGGCAGCACACACAGCCTGGCATGCAGGACCGCGAGCGAGTGTGCAGCAGTCTTCGTGGTCCCGTCTCGCAAGGTCGTCCACTGTGTATGGACTTGACGACGGAGGCAAAAGCAGGCAACCCGCTGCCCGGAAACGGTGCCACCAAGAACTGCCCCGAGACTCTGATGAGCCCTGAAGGAGCCTGTTGAGAGAACGTCTGAGGGCCGCGATGGCCGGCCAGAAAGCCGCCTGAAGTAAACGGGGGACGGGCTCCGGGCATGACGCGTCGGAGAAGATGTCTGATGCAAAGCTCTGTCGCACAGCACTGAAGCTTCAGTGGCCGAGAGGTCTGGACTGTGTCAAGGATCGTGCTTTAAAGCAAGCACATGCAGGTTGCGCGAACCATCCAAAGGTCACAGAACCATCGGAGAGAGGGACTAGGGGAAAACCGCAGATTCAGGATGCTGCACATGGGTACAGTTTTCTTGTGACACATGCTGAGACCCTTGCGACATAAAACTTCGCTTGGAAGAAAAAGGCAAGGCTCTAAAGTCTCAAGGTAAACCCTCATCCCTACGTGTAAACCCAAACCCTTTGAACCCTAAACCCCACATTTGAAGCCTTCTTTGAACCCCAAAGTCCTGCGTGCTGCCGGCTTCGATGGAAGGAAGCCGCCAAACAGGTAGCCTGGGCCAGAAGTCTTCACTTGGCGCAGACCCTCTAAATCACCAAAACCAGGGATGTTGAGTCTTAGCGGACATCCTTGGCTGCTCTGACGGGTCGTCTGCATCCGTACGGCCGTGGTTTGAGGTGAGGGTAGAACCCTAAACCCGAAACCCTAAACCCTGAACCCTAAACCCTGAACCCTAAACCCTAAATAAACCCTAAACCCTAAACCCTAAACCCTGAACCCTGAACCCTGAACCCTAAACCTTCATGCGAGAGGCAGCTCGCAGGAAGCCCGGAGACGCTCAGGGCACAGGCAGCGGCACTGGCGCCCGGCACAGGGCGCACAGGGATGTCACCTCTGCCGGGATTTCAAAGGAACCAAGAACGGTAGTCGCGAATGCAATATAGCACAGAAGCCATAGCCATAGCAACAGTGATAGCAACAGCGATAGCCATAGTGGTCGCGATAATAACGGTTATCGCGACAGTGACAGGGACAAGTGACAGCAGTCATGGTAACAGGAACAGTAGCAGTAACGGTGACAGTACGTAACAGCAGTAGTGTTAGTAATGCAGTATAGAAGAAGTACTAGTAATAGGAATAGTAGTAGCAAGAGTAATTAATAATACTAGTAATAGTAATAGTAATAGTAATAGTAACAGGAATAGTACTAGTAATAGTAATAGTAATGGTAATGGTAATAGTAATAGTAATAGTAATAGTAATAGTAATAGAAATCGTAATAGTAATAGTAATAGTCATAGTAATAGAAACCGTAATAGTAATCGTAATAGCAATAGAAATAGTAATAGTAATAGTAATTGAATTTGTAGTAGCAATAATAATAGTACTAGTAATCGTAATAGAAATAGTAATAGAAACAAATAATGGATATAGTAATAGATATAGTTATAGCAATTGTAATAATTGTAATTGTAATAATAATAATAGTACTAGTAATAGGAATAGTAATAGCAATAGTAATAGAAATAGAAATAAAAAATAGCAATAGCAATAGTAATAGTAATCGCAATAATAATAATAATAATAGTAATAGTAATGGTAATAGAAGTAGAAGCAGAAGTAGAAACCATAATGGTAGTAATAAAAAATACAAAGAATAACAAGAATATTAATCACAATAATTACAATCACCATAATCACAATCATAATCATAATCATAATCATACTCATAATCATAATCATAATCATAGCATTAGTAACAGCAACAGCAACAGTAACAGTAACAGCAACAGTAACAGTAACAGTAACCATAACAGCATCAGTAACAAATTATAAAGTATGAGACCTGGTTTTGATCAAGGTGATGGTGATGGCTCTGAGAATCGCAACTCGAAACAGCAAACAGCCGCAACGGTAGCAATGCCAGAATGAATTAATAGTAGTCGTCACAAGAACTGGTCGCCTAGCTCGCGCCGCAGCGCGCGCAAGACAACGAAGCCGGGGTCCTGACGAGTGTCGTCAGCATACTGAAGCTGAAAGTAATGCGGCGTGCCTTCTTGGAATCCGAACTCTTATTTCCAAGCCCTAAAGGCCCTAAAGCCTTCAAGCTCGGAAACCCAAAAACCAAGGACCCAAAACGAGCAATAATTTGGAACAGAAGTTGCAAGGGCGCACGGAGCTAGATGCAGATGGGACTGCGCTTCAGACGAGAATTACTGCGAGCTGAACCTGTGCTGGCATAATCCCGAATTATGAGCAGCCTACTTTGGAACAAAACCCAGAAACGGGCCTTCTGGAAAACAACCCGAAAGGCTCAACCCTCCGTGCGGTCCGCCAGCGATGGCGTCCCGGCATCAGAGACCAACGCAAGCGCCCTGAAAATGGGACTGCAGAGTTATGAGGCTGCCTAGAGGGCGCCTTCAGTTAAGCTCGTCAGAATAGCTGTTACCAACGGCAACAACAATAAAGCTGCAATGGTATCAACAGTCGCGATGATGATTGCAATGCTCGTAACAAGAGTAATAGCTTTGTATACACCAAAGTAGGGCACTGGGGTGCTGACACGTCGCAGAGACAAGAGTAGCAGTAGCAGTAGCAGCAGCAGCCGCCGTCATCTTACTCCAAAAAAGACTTTGTGCAGGTTGCAGATACAGGTGCTCTCAGGGTGTTCTGAAGTAGAGCTTGGACTATTGAGGCTCTTCACTGCCTCTAAAAATAACCTCATGGCCCAAGCTAATGCAGACACCAGCACCGTGCAAGCCGGGACGCTGCTCCTCGCGCAGGCGCCGAATGATGTCTTGTCCCACACGCTCCTGAAATCTTGGGCATACGGCTGCTCTACGCTCGGACGAATGTGAAGAAAAAGAGCCCCCGAAGGGGCCCTAAGCTCAGACGACACCATAGGGCTTCTGTGGAATGAAAGAAGGACTGTGCACGTGGCTGTGGCTGCCAGTTTGTGTCTGCCAGAAGCGGGGCGTTAGGGTGGGAAAGGCGGGGGGGGGGGGCACGGCGCAAACCTTTCCAAGCCATAGTCTCGTCAAGCTCTTCACTCTACTTGAGTATGTAGCTAAGACCGGAGGCCAGGCACGACAGACCACCGGCATTTCAGTCCCACCAGACAACAAAGCACCATTAACAGCTGCTCGTCTGCCGGTGCTTCTCAAAGGCAAATGGCACTTAAACCCTAAGATGCGTAGTCCCGCTGTCGCGGATGGTATCGGGAGGCCATGGAATGACTGGTGGATGCTTGAGTTTCGGGGCTGGGAAGGGAGGTCATCGGGAAGACAGCGAATCAGATGGCGAGATCGGCTCCACACACAGAACTGTGCTCGAAGCCATAATGGTAGTAATAAAAATAGTAAAAAAAAAACATAATAATAATAATCATAGAAATAATAATTAATAACTGTTATTCTTGTTTTTAATAATAACAGCAATAATAACTTGAATCACAGTAGCATAGTAGCTGCTCGCCATTTTACGGTGCGAGGCCCTTAGCAGTTGCAGAAGTGGAGCCAATGTTGTCGACTGTCTTCGACACAACTCGCACCGTGCAGATGAAAAAAACATGGGGAAAAAACTACGCCCTAAACTCTAAACCCATGGGCGGTGACGGCAGCATAGGTCGCATTACCCCATAGCCCGCAAAGCCCTAGACTCCCCAAACCATTGAACAAACAACCTAAAAAACCTGAAGCCCAGCAAATCCTCGAGAAGGAAGCTTAACCCCTGGACCCTAAACCCTAACCCCTAAACGCTAAACCCTACTTTCAAGCTGAACCCGACAAGGACCCTCGAGAGCCTCGTTGAAGGCGTGACACGGAAACAAGGGCCTCGCAGGAACGCAGGCGGCTGAGGCTTCTCAAGGGTGTTTTTTTCTCGACCCTTCAGGGTTTAGGGGTTTAGGGTTTAGGGTTTGGGGTTTGGGGTTTCGGGTTTGGGGCTTGGGGGTGGGGGTTTAGGGCTTTACGATCTGATCTGCCAGAGTGTAGGAAACGCACGAAACGTGCCATCTTGCGCTGGTCTGCATGTGTCCTGTCCACTTGGAGTCAGTTCACTTAGAGTCAGACTGTAGTGCCACCAGCTGGAGAAGCGTCTGTTACCCAACCGATGCACCAAGGTTTGTGTCAGAGTGGAGAAGGTGATAGGTATGATTCGCATGTAGCATTTTACCCTAAAGACGCATCCAAATAGCTGAATTTAACAGCACCTGTTGGAAAATATTGGAAGGCTTCAACTTTGGGCATCTAAGTCTTGATGACGCCTTCCCTCGATGCCCAGGCGCCGCAGCAATGCATCGGTGGTCCTGGGACAAAGGAGGGCTCAGCCGATTATCAAACTAGGTACGTCGTAACCTTTTCTAGGGTCCATATACCCCTCCGAATAACTACCCATGAGCCTTGTTAAGGGTTAAGGGCTCAGCGGTCACCAAACAAGAAGACAGCCGGAAACCAAGGAGAGACGAGATCCGATGGTGTCCTTGTGTCCTCCGCAAAGATCGCGTCAACCTTTGCAGGAGGGATCCGTTAAGCCAGGGAGAACTCATTTCTAAGCACCTAGGTGTGATGCTCACTACTTTGAAAAAGCTCGGGCCCTCGTTTCAGAAGTAACCTGGCCCAAATCGTCCAGAAGCTCCCGGAAGCGGTCAGAGACCCATCGGGAACTCAGAGGTCCAGCAGCCCGGACACGAGAAGGTCTGAGGAAGATCTGAACCTCAAACCTTCTTGTGCGGGGGCCTAGGAAAGGCTTTCGGGGTTCACATGGAAAAACTCGCAGCTTGCGTGAAGTGGCGGTCGGTACCACTACCGCTTCGCTCGCCGGGCACTGCGTCATCATGATGTGCGATGGTTTTTGGGTATTGCTTCGCAGCTCCAAGAGGAGCCCCAAACCTAAATCATAGAGCCCTACACCCTACACCCTACACCCTAAACCCTAAACCCTAAACCCACGCTCTGAGCTCCCGGAAGGCCCACACTTCGCCCTCAAGGGGGCTTCGGAAGCTTCATTCAGCGGCGGGGGTCTCTGCACGGGGTCTGGTGCTCCGAAAGACCCACTGAACCCGAAGCCCCAAACCACAAATCCGAAAACCCTAAACCCTAATCTTAGCACCTAGGAACTCAAGCCTTGAGCCCCTAAACAATAGCAGAACCCCCTCAACCCTGAACCCCAACCCTGAACCAAGAACAAAACAAACAGGTAGATTGAACCCGAAACCCTGAACCCTAAACCTAAACCCCTAAACCCCTAAGAGAGAGTGAGAGGGAGAGAGAGCAAGAAAGCGAGAGAGAGCGAGCGCGAGAGAGAGTGAGAGGGGGAGAGAGAGAGAGGGAAAGAGAGAGAGAGAGCGAGCTGCCTCACGCAGGATGCGCAGGGCGCGGAGCGTGATGTCGCCGAGGTTGCCGATGGGCCTGGGGCTGGAAGTTTCTGGTTCAGAGTTTAGGGTGCAGAGCTCAGGGTTTAGGCTGTAGGGTTCAGGGTTTAGGGTTTAGGGTTTAGGTTTCGGGTTTCGGGTTTAGGGTTTGGGGTGCAGTGCTCCATCGACAGAACGGTTGACATAGCCGCAGCCCACAAGCTACGCTGAAACCGAAACCCCAAGGTCCTAAGATGCCCCAAGCTCAACGAAGATCCAGGGCTCACAGAGACCACATAGAGGGCTGGCCGCTCCAGGGGTGCTGCGTCCTAGGGCTTCGAGCCACGATTTCGACCATCTGCGCGAGTTTAGGGTTCAGGGTGTAGGGTTTAGGGTTGCACCAAGCCACACGAACGGCAAGATGTGAAACGCTTAGCTTGGGCCGTCGCACGCCACTCTTCTCGTACCCCCCCCATGAGAAATCCCTACTCAGGACTGTTCGTGGGAAGGGGAACATCCCCACAAACCCCCCCCCAAACTCCCCAAAAAACTCCCCAAAAAACTCCCCCAAACTCCCCCAAATTCCCCCAAGGGCAGTCCTCGAAGTCCACCGCGCCCGCAGCCTCGAACCTTCGAAGGCGTCGGAGCGGGGGCGCCAGGTTGCCGGAGGCTTGCGGAGGCTTTGCGGGCCCTTGGGGGGCCGAGGACAGGATGCTTGCGACCTTGGGGTTTAGGGTCTAGGGTCTAGGGTTTAGGGTTTAGGGTTTTGGGTTTTGGGTTTAGGGTTTAGGGTTTAGGGTTTAGGGTTTAGGGGTTTAGGGTTCTACTGAAACGCCACAAAATTCGTTGCACCTCCTTTATTTTGACCTCGGAGGGTCATCCCCGGAAGGAGTTGGGGTTTCAGCGTCTGGGCAGATCACTGGGCTTTAGCTGAACCAGAGCCTCAAGCCTCTGGCGCTTGATGTGGGGATTTCCGAAACTAGGGGTACCTTATTGAAAGCCCTTGTTATAAGGGGATCCTACTGAATGCGGGTCTTTCTTAGGAGTCCCTTGTGATCGTAAACCCCCACTGCGATCCCAACAGTGTTCTCTTGCATGCCGAGCCCAAGCCCTCCGGAGCTACGGTTTCGGGCTTGTGGGGTTTTAGGGTTGCTTGGAAAAACTCTCCACGGGCCTTGGTTCCTCCCACTCATCACCTGCCACAGTTCATGTGGGCCCAGGCGGGGTGATGGCTGCGGGGTCCTCAGGGATGCTGGGGGGGGGGGGATGCATGCTCTTGAATGTTCACAACACGGATCCTCCAAGAGAGGAGGGACTGCAGGAATGATCGGCTTAGGAATGATCGGCTTTTGGTCGACATGTATGGCAGGGAATTCCACTGCGCAGGCACGTCTCGCAGCACGCAGCAAAGCTGCCTTAGGCTTCTGCTCTCCACTGACATTTCACAAACTCACATACACTCCTGCTGTTCGGGCAGATCCATGTGTAAGATCGGTAGAGATGGTTGACACCCATGCGCTTTAGGACCATGGCAGCTACCGCGTCTCTGCTGAACGTGCTCTTGTAAACACTGTCGCATTACACACTGTCGCAAGTGCGGCCTTAAAAAAATTGGGCAAACTTCGAGCAGGCTTCTGCAAGGAAGTTGGAGAAGTTGCAACAAGCATGCATTTCCAAGACATTCCAAACAAGAACTGCATGCACAGTTTCAGGTTCAACTGCGTTGAGATGGCTGAAGTAGGAAATACATGCTACCAAGTGTCTCCTCACGAAATTTGGGAAAACTAGCACCTGATCCGTTTCATGTGGATGCTGTGCCTTGTATGAGCACACTCCACACAAAGTCGTTCAAGATGGCAGCAGGGCTTCACACTGGTGTCCGCCATTTGTCTACTTCGGATGTTTTGGAACTGCACAGGACACCCATGCTTTATGGCGTGAAACGCGCTCATGGCTTGGGACAGAATTTGCTAGTTGCCTTGCGGGGCGGAGGGTTGCACAGACCTTCTCGCGCAGACACGTATCACAGCACGCATGCAGCAAAGCCGGAAGGACAATCAAATTTGCCGCAACGCAAACTCATCCGGCTTAGACTTCATCGCAGCATGGAATTTGGAGCCAGCATGCCCTTGGATTGCCAGGTGTGTCACGAAAATACTGAACATAGACTCACATACACTCCTGCTGTTAGGGCAGATCCATGGGTAAAGCCTGTATAGATGATTGACAGCCATGCGCTTGTAAACACTTTCTCGTTACACACTGTCGCACTTCCGGCGCATAAAAGAGTTGGGCAAACTTCAAGCAGACTTCTGCAAGGAAGTTGGAGAAGTTGCAACAAGCATGTCTTTCCAAGACCTTCCAAACAAGAACTGCATGCACAGTTTCAGGTTCAACTGCGTTGAGATAGCTGAAGTAGGAAATACATGCTACCAAGTGCCTCCTCACGAAATTTGGGAAAACTAGCACCTGATCCGTTTCATGTGGATGCTGTGCCTTGTATGAGCACACTCCACACAAAGTCGTTCAAGATGGCAGCAGGGCTTCACACTGGTGTCCGCCATTTGTCTACTTCGGATGTTTTGGAACTGCACAGGACACCCATGCTTTATGGCGTGAAACGCGCTCATGGCTTGGGACAGAATTTGCTAGTTGCCTTGCGGGGCGGAGGGTTGCACAGACCTTCTCGCGCAGACACGTATCACAGCACGCATGCAGCAAAGCCGGAAGGACAATCAAATTTGCCGCACGCAAACTCATCCGGCTTAGACTTCATCGCAGCATGGAATTTGGAGCCAGCATGCCCTTGGATTGCCAGGTGTGTCACGAAAATACTGAACATAGACTCACATACACTCCTGCTGTTAGGGCAGATCCATGGGTAAAGCCTGTATAGATGATTGACAGCCATGCGCTTGTAAACACTTTCTCGTTACACACTGTCGCATTTCCGGCGCATAAAAGAGTTGGGCAAACTTCAAGCAGACTTCTGCAAGGAAGTTGGAGAAGTTGCAACAAGCATGTCTTTCCAAGACCTTCCAAACAAGAACTGCATGCACAGTTTCAGGTTCAACTGCGTTGAGATAGCTGAAGTAGGAAATACATGCGACCATGTCGGGATTCTCACTTGTCTCAGGCAGGGTTGAGCTACACTTGCCTGCTTCGGATGCTCTGAGGCTGCACAGGACATGCCTTATGCCCCCTCGCTTCGGAGCCATTTCTCTTCCTTCAGTTCTCTCTTTGCAACCCAAGCACACTTTAGGCAAGATAAGGGATCATCTGCCGGCGTGAAAAAGGTGATGGCATGGGACAGAATGTGCCCGTTGCCTTGCGGGGACGAGATTTCTCGCGCAAACACGTATCGCAGCAGGCATGCAGCAAACGACACTTTCATGAACATAGACTCACATACATTCCTGCTGATAGGGCAGAGCCATGTGTAAAATCTGTAGAGATGATTGACACCCATGCGCTTTGGCATTAAGGCAAGCAGCACCACTAGCTGCCGCGCCTCTGCTGAACGTGCTCTTGGAAACACTGTTCCGTTAGACACTGTCGCATTTGCAGACTTGCAAAAGAGTTGGGCAAACTTCGAGCAGGCTTCTGCAATGAAGCCGAAAAAATGGTCACGTTGCTTCAGGACTTAGAGACGTGGAACTTCGAGGTGAGGCGGAAACCCAAGATCCTGAAACCCGAAACCGGTGCGGCCTTGCGCGAAAAAAAGAGGTATTCTCGCACTTCCGAGCACGTGCTCTGTACGGCATCTGTTGGGCTGGCATGCTGCGCCACAGTCGACACCCGTACTCAGAAAGTTCTGGTTCTCCCTGCGAAGTTGTTCCTCATGGGCAGCTTCACTGGGTCCCGGGGCTCTTCGGCCACGACAGCATCGAAGCACTCGGCGCGACGCAGCTCCACCGCTTCCTGGAAGACTTTCGGGTACCTGGACGACTTTCGAGTATGCACTTGTAGGCTACTCTTCTCCTTTGGCAAAAAAGAACTCCTGATTCTACTCTCGCCCTCGCACTCGGGTTAGCACTCCTTTTGCTAGAGCAGAGGCAAAAGTCGCAAGCTTCCGCAAGCTAAGCCATTCTGAGGGCGCCACTTCCTCACCCTTTTGAGGCAAGAGTTCAGCTTCCTGATGTATGCGTCGTGGGTCTCGCGGTCTGGCGGCAGCGGGGCTCCTTCGGGCACCACCTGGGGTGCTGTCATGTAGAAGGAGGCCACCGTGCGAGGCTGAGAGTTCTGGCAGCTGCCGCCACAGCCCATGGCGAGATTCGGGTACCCGGAGGGCCGAAGGGCCGAACGAGACTTCTCGACTTGAGCCAGGGCTCCAACTCGCTGCTCAGCTTGCAGTGCAGACGCAGCTAAACGAAAAAGCGGAGAAGAGTTCGAGGTCCAGGACATCAGCGACCTGAATCAGTAGCATCTTGTAGCCCGGCTGTCCAGATACCCACCCTAAGCCCTACACCAAATTTCCTGAAGCCGTTACTTCGAGCTGGCCCTTTCCGTGAACAAAGCTCGTCCCCTGCCTTCCTCGCCCATGAAGTCGCCATCAAAAGATCCTCGCACTCGGGGCAGCTTCTTGTGGCACTTGTGGCTTCGGGCCTTGGGGCTTTAGAACTGCTCGTGGCCTTTTACTGGTTTTGGGCTCGCTTCGGGTGTTGGGGGAGACCAAACAATCTCAAGCCCGGCGGGCTCAGAAGGAAGTTGGAGACAGGAGGTTCGTGGAACCCAGGTCATGAGTCCGAGATGTGGAGGAGCGCGGAAAGTCCGTGGGAGCTTCAATGCCCTGGAGCCTTCGAAGCCCCACAGCAGGATCGAAAAGACACGGAGAGCCACCTTATGCCAGAAGCTGCATTTTTTGTGGCTGAAACCAAGCCCCTTCAACAATCAAATGTCCATGATATGAAGCTTCGCTATATATATATATATATATATATATATACATACATACATATAGATATATATATATATATGTATGTATGTATATATATATATAACCCTAAGCCCCAAACCCTAAACCCTAAACGGCCCTGAACCTCAAACCCGACCAACGACAGGAAGAGCCAGAGGCTGAAAGCGCACAGGGTGGACGAGAGAGCCCTCCTCTTAGTTGTCCAGTAACCTGGGGGAATGAAAGGTTGACCTTTAGGATTATAAGGGGATTATATTGCCCCTAAACCCTAAACCCTAAACCCTAAACCCTAAACCCTAAACCCTAAACACCCTAAACCCTAAAATAAAGGTTACCTACTCTTCTACTGGCTCCTCCTCCCGTGCTGCCACCCTGAGCTCGCGCGGCCTCTGCCGCCTCTGCCGCATCGCCTTAGCTGGAGAGGCAACCCAGACCTTCTGAAACCTGTAGACCCTTTGGGGTTTAGGGTTTAGGGTTTAGGGTTTAGGGTTTGGGGTTTAGGGTTTGGGGTTTAGGGTTTAGGGCTTAGGGCTTAGGGCTTAGGGTTTAGGGTTTAGGGCTTAGGGTTTAGAATCCTTCTAAAACATTCTAAGCTGTGAAGCCTCAGCCCTCCCACCCTCAAGGGGTCTTCTGGGTATGGGCTTTAGGAAGCTCAGAGGAAGGAATCTTGGGGGGTTAGGGTTTAGGGTTTCAGGGAATCTCCACCTGAAGCCTAATCAGTCCGGAAACCGCGCCATTCTTGCGCTTCTGGATGTTGCGTGGGCGCTGCGCTGAACCTCAAACCTCCTTAGGGTTTAGGGTTTAGTTAGGGTTTAGGGTTTAGGGTTTAGGGTTTGGGGTTTAGGGTTTAGGGTTTAGGGATTAGGGTTTAGGGTTTAGGGTTTAGGGTTTAGGGTATACGCCATCCCAAACCCCAAGCCCTGAACCCTAAGCCTCGACCCATAAACCAAAACAGACGGCGGCCCTCGAACCCTGGAAACCTGGAACCCAACTCCCTCACTTTCATCAACAAGTCTAGAACTTCCAGATCTTTTCAGAACCTGCAGAACTTGCGGAAGTTTCAGAGCTTCTACAGTAAGACTCTGGGTGAGAGTGTGTGAAGGTACTATTTCCTTGGGTTTTGCTCGAAATTCTAAGGCCTGAAACCCCGGGCGCGCCCCAAATGCAACTAAGACTTTCCCACGGCCCCCCACCACACACGTAGCCCAGGCCGCGTTCCTTCAGCTTTCGCCGCCTCGCGCCCGCGGCAATCAGCGGCCTCTTGGGGGATGAAGCCTAAGGATTTAGGGTTTAGGGTTTAGCGTTTAGGGTTCAGGGTTTAGGGTTTAGGGTTTAGGGTTTAGGATTCGGGTAAAACCATGAACCCTCAACCCTTGACACTCTCTTATCCTGCGCACGAGTAGGACTTGCCGGCTTGCATCCCGACAGTCGGGGCTTGCGGCGCTTGCATGGTTTGGAACTCGATTCAGGGTTTTCCGGGCTTAGGCCTGGGGAGTCTGGGGCCTTAGACTTAGACTTCGACCTTGCTTGAGTGGTGTTCGGGGGTGCAGGGGCTTGGGGTTTTGGGCTGTTTCCTGTTTCCTTGGGGCACCTTGAAAAAGAGGTTGGGCTTTTTAAGTTCAGAAACCCCAGACTTTCCAGAACCTCGCCGCCGACGCAGCGCCGGCGCTGGCAGCGAGAACCAGCCGCGGCCGCGCATGCTGCGTCCTCCTCGGGTTCTCGCTGAGGTGTGGGGCAAGACGACTCGATCTGAGTCTCTGCTTGTCCTTGCATTTTGGGAGGGAAAGGGAGGGGAGCCCTGCAACTAACTCCCCTGACGGGATTCCCAAGGCATCAACCCATAGAACACCTCCAACGCCCAAAGCACACGCGCCAAGAACGCGCCGCCGGCGCTACCGCCCGCGCTGTGGCCGCTGTGGCTGGCGCAGCGGCCGCCATGCCACACAGGGCTAACCAAGAAGTTCGGAAAAAAGGCTTGGGGCTTTGTTGGGCGCATGGGGCTTGTGTAGCTTGTGGGGCTTGTGGGGCTTGGGATTCAGAGGCTGCTTTGGCGAATCGGCCGGGCCAGTGGTTGGAGGTGGGTGCAGAGTTTGCGGATTGGGGAGGGTTGAAGGGGATGGTCTAGAGTCTATAAAGTCTTGGCATGATTGTTTGAGGTCCAGGCACTCAGGCTCACTTCTCAGATGCGTGCGAGATCACCATGGAACTTCCGTAGGATCACAGGGACCAGTTGTTGGGGGTCACAAGTTCAGGGCGTCAAGGTTGGGGACCCCGAGCCCCAAAGCCTGCCATGGCCCTGCAGAGCCCTAAACCCTAAACCCTAAACCCTAAACCCCCCCTTGAGTTCTTTTTGGTTGCTGGTAAGAATGCACTGCATTTGAGTGCGCCTGGGAGAGCTCCGAGGCCTTGCTGGGCCCTCATTAAACAATTCCTCCTTTGTACTTACGAGTAGGAACAATGGATAACCGCGATTTTGACCCTGACCACGATCGGGAGAATGACAAAGACAAGCTAGACTCCCCACATTCTGTGCAACCCCATGCCAAGTGCTAGAGCTCTTCGTCTCGGAGCACCGGGATCTGCAGGTGGGATACCGTATCCACCTCTGAATCAGAGGCCAGGAACTTTCTCTGCCGGATGCTGTGCAAGTCGGTGGCCGCCTCGGCTACCATGAAGCCAAGAGGCATGAGGGTTGTTGGTTTTCGGGCTCGTGCCTTGGACTCTCTCAGAAGGGAAAGCGTGGAAGCTGCGCACTTTCCCTGCCTTCACCCTTGGACCTTACATAAACACGTAGAAACCCTTGAAGCAGCCTTAAGCCCCCAACTTCGCAGGAGCCCCAGCCCCAACACCCCCAGTACTCAGATGACATCTCGGGTCAGAAGAAGGGACGCAGACCAAGGTGCCGCTACAAGGGGCTCTGGGTGGCGAAGCCATGAGGCAATCTTGTTCTGGATGGCCTTCCCCCCCCCGGGAATTGCCAAGCTTGTTGTAAGGGTTCCCGAGGGTTTCGGGCTTGGGGGGGGTGAATCGGGCCATGGAAGGCGCCAGTTGAAGCAGCGATGAAACGTGGGAATGAGCTCACAGGGCAGCCGAAAGAAAGAGCCCGTAATTTCGGACGACGGCACATGGACCATTCCTTCAAGGCCCGCCACTCCAAACCCACGGACCCATTCCGATATGCGTGCACAAAACAGCGCGGAAGGTTTAGAATTTAGGTTTGGGGATTACCTGAAGGTCAACTGCGAGATGATGCGTAACCCCCTGAAACGCCCTTGCCCCCCTGTGCCGACCTTCTTAGCCACAACCAGGTGCCTCAGAACCGGGCGGCTTGGGGGTGGCTTTTTTGGAGCCTCTGGATTGCTCCTGCTACGGAACTTCAATTATGCTACCATGACTTTGGATACACACCCTGTCGGGAAGCCAGTCGGGGGCTTGATGAAAGTTCGCGGGGACTGTATGTCCAGAGTCATGCTCATGTCACTTTCAGCTCCTGAACGAGAAGCCAAAGGGGACTTGGACCTTGAATGCTGCTGGGCATTCAGGCCACATGCACATTCTGAACCTCTTGGATGAGAACACGAAGCCTGTCAACCCCTAACCTCCTTAAAACTTCAATCGTATAGAGGCTAGAAGACCTGGAAACAAGAAGGCTCAAGGTTGCCAAGTCAGGGTGGATTGCGAAGAATTGGCTTGGGGTGTAGGGTGTAAGGATGAAGGATGAAGGGGTTCTAGGGTTTTGGGTTAAGCAGACATCATGTCCATGCGCCGTTTTGCCGAGTTTATGAGTTTAGGCAGGAATTCACACGTCTAGCTGCTCGAGCTCACAAAGCCACACACAGGGCTGAGAGCGGTGAGGCCCGGTACTAGGTGTTGGGGGTTTTGGGTCTTGGGGTTTCAAGCGTGAAGGCCCTTAATCTCCCCCCCCACCCCCGCGAGTATATTGCCCAAGATGCTCGCTCATGGCAGGATGCACCGCATGCCTTGGCTGTTGGAGCGACCGAAGCTCAGACTGCCTCAAAAAGAATTATGGCGCGAGCGTGTCCAACAACACCCTCTTGACCCCCCCCCCCCTACCCCCCTCCCCCCCCCCCCCCCCCCCCCCCTACGCTCAACCCTAAACCCTAAACCCTTCGCCCCAGTCGAAAACACCAGTGTTTGGCAGGGTTGAGCTGTTGGGCCGATGAGGAGAACAAAAGCAAGGAGGACAAGAATGAGGGAAGAATGTTCGCAAAGAATAAGAAGACAACCTGTAGAGCTTTCTGCCGGTTAAGGATCTTGAGGTTTAGGTGGGGGCTTTCGTTCTCACTGCCCAGTGGCATCCACTCGCAGTGTGAGGCCCCCTTAATGAAGATCGTGTCGATCTCCGGGTTCTCGTGCTCCAGGACAGACTCCCAATGCCACGGGTCCACTTCGCCGTTCGGGAAGATGGTTCGGGTGGTCTTGGGGTACCTGGGATACAAAAGCAGCGGGCACCCGGATATGAGTTTCGACATGTGTGCCCGGATCCGGCCCGGATGGTTATTTGGGTATCCTAAGACGGCTTCCTTATCCACTTCCTGTATTCAAGTTCCCGTCTACGACGGCTTCATCGAGACCATGGCCCCAAGCACGAGCACCAAAGGTTGAGGGCTGAGTTCTTTACTCTCAGGCTTCAAAAGCGGGCCCTCAGACTGAGGTGCAGAATGCCATGGTAGAAGTCGTTGGTCTTCTTGATGTTCTCTTTAACCTTCTCTGGAGAGATGCCGAAGAGAAGCTGGCAAGGCTTTAGATTCCAGTCCACTGTGTTGTAGCCCTGCGTCCAGGGGCAGTTGCTTCCAGTCTCACAGGTCTGGTACCAGCCGAACTCTGTGCAGGTCTGGTAGTACCAAAGGCGGCTAAATTGGTCACCAGAACGGCTGTCGCTGTAGTTCACCTTCTGCGTGATGTTCATGGCCTTCCAAGCGCAGACTGCCATCCACCCCGGGACGAATATCCAAACCAAGAACCCTACAACCCCAAAGATCCGAACTCGTGGCCTTGATCGTCAAGTTGGCGAAGGATACCGAGGTACACGGCCCGGGAGCGCTGCCACCCAGCGCGTCCTCCTTGTCCTGGCTCTTAGGGAGGCTCTTTTTGGTTGGCTCCCTTCATGAAGGGCTACTTACCGGTGAAAAAATAGGGACTGAAGAAATTATGGGGACCTTAAATATAGAATGCCTTTCAGGGTTTGTATAGGCAGTCCTGGTGCTCCTTCATCAGCACAATCGCATCGAGGGCACTGGTGCTCTCGGAGGAGTTTGCCATCTCGGAGAGATTCCCGCAGAAGAGCCTTCGAAAAGACTCCCCGTGCCAAAGACGCGCAAACGTCTAACACCGTTCAACCCGACCCACATCTAGCCGAGGTTCTTCCCAAATTCGCCCCTCGAAACGCGATACTGCTCACAGTTTAGAGTTGCGCTCGCGGTTTGATATAGTTGAGATGCTTCGGACATCTATCTCTTTGAAGTCTGCAAGGCCTCATGTTGCAGCTGGTGTGGTTGCACTTCGCACTGTTGTACTGCGGGATGGTCGCGACAACGCCATCCGTGCCAGCCCACTGCGCCTTTGCTTTGAGGTCTTGGTTTAGTCTTTGGGGGTTTACTAGGGCTTCAGGGGTCCTGTTTTTGAGGATCAAGACATCTAGGGCTGCGGGAGTCCTAAATCCCCTAAACCCCTAAACACTAGAAATATCGGAGCCACCGGAGCTGCCAAACCCTCAGCCTCAGACCTACCCCAAAAAGGGGCATGTCCCAAAATATGGGGGTACCCCTACTAGACCCCCACGTACAATAATCCTGATTACGGGAACCCCCCAAAGAAGAAAAACGCGGGGTCGAGGCCTTTGGGTGAGAACTGACCAACCTTCTTCCCTAGGCGTGGGGCCCGGTTGTCAATGTCGTCCAACGCGTTCGTGCCGCAGAGCTTGAACTTCCGCTCCAAAGAGCGACGTCCTCTCCAAGCCCATAAAGGTCTTTGCGAGGAAAAGCCGACCAACATCGGCTTAGTACTTAGGATTGTGCTAGAAGTTCGGGAAGCAAACAGTGAGGGGGGTAGGGTACTGTTGGGAGCTAAAGGTCTCTCAGTCAAGGTTTAGGGCTTTGGCGAGTGTCTCGGGATGTAAGCCTTTAGGTTCAAGTCCCCAATCCCACAAGCCCAACTTAAGGGTCGACCTCACTCAAAAACCCTAAACCCTAAACCCTAAACCCTAAACCCTAAACCCTAAACCCTAAACCCTAAACCCTAAACCCTAAACCCTAAACCCTGAACCCAACCCTGAACCGAAAGGAGGGCACTGCGCCAGTCCTCGCTCCGACGTGAGGAGGTCCCCAATCTCAGCGTGGCCCTCTCGCGCGGGATCAGGCTTCGGGTCTTTGAGGCCACGAAAGATCCCCTGAGCCCCGATCTCCCTGAACCCCGATCTTCCTGAACCGACATGACACAATTCAACCGGTTCCAACAAGAAATCCCAACCAGGCCGGACAACACAAACATAAGGCAGCCTTGGCCACCGTGGCCAGGCACTCAGGGCTGCCACCGATGCTGGGCGCCGCAAGGGCAGAGGACACCACGGCATTGTAGCCGGAGAAGTCAAGCTGCGTCCAGGGAGGGTCAATAAGGCTTGAATATTGAAAAGTTCACAAAAATTCACGATGTCGTTTTCTGTTCAGGAGTGGGGTAGCTTTGAGTTTGGGGTGGAGGGATGATTCCGTCGATCTCCCGATTTGTGCGCCCAGCCGAGCCGAGCCACAAAACAACACTCGGATGTCGGGGCCCTGCCTGGGCCTGCAGCGGAGCGGAAGAGGCGACCGAGGCGGCAAACCTGAATGCTTTGGGAGAGCGGGGCGGTTGTTGAGAAGGTGCAGGCTTTGGGGGGCTTCACTGGGTTAGTGAGCCGAGCGGGCTTTGTGGGTTTTCGTGGGTCTAGGAAGTTTTGGTTTGTTTTGTGGCTTCAGCAATGCTTCCATCGGGAAGCAGGCCTCTCTGGATAGAGCTGCCGTGCCCAGGCAGACAGAGATCCAGGGTAGGAGCCACCGAAGACCACCTTGACTGGGACACAACGAGAACTACCATCATCGTCGAGGGGACAGGTTCCGCATGCCTGGAACTACGGAAAGTTCTGGAGACCACAACGAATTGGCTGCTTCTCAGAAGTAGGAGTTGTAGTCCCAGCAGGAGCTTGCAGGAGCTTTAACAGAAAGAGAGGGCGGAGCAACGGCTTCGAAAGCCAGGCTTCGACTCGGGACCTTTTGGGACCCCTTTTGGGACCCATTGGGACAAAGCTGTTTGGGTGGAAGGCAGAGTCTGAACAGGCAGGGCACCCAAGGTACGCCCTTGACGTCGAAGGACTCTGTGCGGACCTTCGACAGGTTTCATCACCGCTCAGAAGCTTCCGTCAGATGTGACTACGTCTTCGAAAAGTTTCGAGAACACGCACATGTCAGCTTCAAGTCATCTTCTGCAAGTGAACTTTCTATCCCCAAGCACAGCCTTTGACTTTCGAGGGAATGACCGTGAAGCTGCAAAGAACTCCAATGAAGAGTCCATTCAACTGGGTCACACTTGCTCACGGGCCAAGCAGCAATATAGTCGTGTATGTCTGCGAGGTCTGCCAGCGCCTCTTTGCGGGTTTAGCTGGCTTGTTTAGAGGGTTGTGAGTTTAGGGATTTTTAGGGTCGATAGGGTTGGAGGCATTGAGATGTGGGGTGACCATACAGCAAGGTTTAGCAACACGCAAAGCATGTGAACTTCAGGGAGATTTGCTCACAATCGGCCGATTGCTGGAGACAAGCACCTAACAAAGCTGTCTTCTCCACTCCACCTGACAACTTGCACGTGTGCCGGCCAGGCTCTACACCACCTCACAAACTGCCGGACCGCGAGCCAACCCCCAATCCTCAACAACCGCCCAGCCCCTCCGCACAAAAGACACTAGAAGCCACGCAGAAGTTACTGCGGCCAACGCCTGGCGGGAGGAGTGGTATTTGAGGTTTTCGGCGGAAAAGTCGGGCACGCCATCGAAGGCTGCTCCGCCATAGTATCGGTGCTCCACTGCCATGCCCATGGCATTGAACTCCTTGGCAAGCCTCAGGTTTAGGGAAAGGCCGCGCCGGAAAGGCCCCTAGGGTTGGAGCTCAAGGCGCCTTTCTGGCAAAGGAGAAAAAGCTGTCTACAACTTGGCGTTCTCAACTTGAACCAACTATCACGCAAGAACTTGCCCATTGGTACGTCAAAGCACGGACCACTCAACAACGGTTTGTGTCGATCAATCAAGGCAAGAAACTCCATCATGTTGTTGCACATGAGAGTATAAGGTTTGCGACTTCCTCCCCAAGGATAGTCCTCGCCATCGATGCAGACAAAGACCGGACCTCCTGCTTTCCAGTAAGTCCTGTTGGTCGTGTAGCGCTGACACCAAGTGCGGTCGTCATTCTTGGCAAAATGGTCCAGCTTCTGCCCACAAAATGTCTTCAGGCCATCCGAAACATCCAGAACCTCAGCATGGCAGTTAGCCCGGCAAGAAGCAACCATACCTTTTGCTTGGAACATCAAAACACAAACACAAAACATGGTGCACTTAGCATCCGGAAAGCAGGAGGGTTCACCTCGGAAGACACCTTGAGCAGCTTGTCGCGCTTGAGGCTGAGGCCTTGAATAATCTGGGCATTGGCCAAAGGCAAGCTTCCAAGGCCCAGCAGAAGTGCGCTCACAGCGCGCCAAGACCAGCCCGCCATGGGTAAGAAAGGGTACGGGGCCCAGGATCCCGGGCACTGGCTGCAAGGAAAATGGCGCGGCGCGACGGTCACAAGTTGTGACAACTCATGTCCAATGGGCTTGGTCACAGGGGCACGAAACAACCAACATGCTTTACCTCCACGAGAAGATGTTTCCATGGAAGAAGAACAACCTTTAGCAGTCAAGGAATGGGAAATCTGAAACAAAAAGGGCAAAAGGGCACTCCTCAGGAACCTAGTCTGGGCTGTTGGGAAAAGTGCGGTCCAACAGACATTGATGATTGCCGCGGCCGCCGGGCGCAGGACTGCAGTTCAGAATCCCTCCGTAGCACTTCTTAATGACACAGCTTTGCAGGCCCGGTGAAACATTGCTTGCCACACCACCAGCATCAGCAGTCCGATCGGGCTCAGGAAGACATGCCGCAGTGATGATCATGATGACGGTCATAATGACGATGATGATGGCGATGCTGATGATGGAGGCGGTGGTGATGATGAACATAGTAACACAGTTTGCTCAAAACATGTGGGGTTGAAACATACTCACGTTCATGAGAATCCTAGTCGAAGTACACCATTTTCCGCTGCTCGCATGGACACTCTCGGCAATCATGTCACTGATCAGTGCCTGGTTTCGACACTGCAGCCTGATCACTGAATCGAACTCAACGCGCTTTGGGATCGAATCATCATCACGGGCTTCCGCCGCTTGCAGAGTGTCCGCATGATTCACTCCAAAGCCTGGCGCGGCCGTCTGCCGCTAGGCCGGGGGAGGAGGAGGTGCGGTTGGGGGAGGGGAGGAGGAGGTGCGGTGGAGACGCAAGGTGGGCCAGGCACACTGCCACTTCCTGGACGGCTGCGCACAGTGATGGGTGGCTGCCGGAGATGAGCCTCACGAAACGCACACAACCTGCACGTCGTCTCAGGGGCCTAGTCTAGGACCTAGGATTCGTTGTCCACTCCCCGACGCCTTGAAATCCATGGCAGTTTGCACGCCCACGATTCTTCGATGCAAGGCGCGGCGCCACCAGATTGGCCTTGGACACCAACAGAAACCGATCAAGCAAGTCACCAGAAGAAGCCCTCCTACAAAATTGTTGATTCGCGGTACCAAGAGCCTCCATCATTTGCCTTACTGCAAGGTGCGACAGGACTGTGTGCCTAAATGCCTCAGCACGCCTTATTACCCGCTAAGACTGCTCAGTTCGGGGGTTGCTAATGCAGGGGCAAGACACAGCCGGGAACAGCCACCGATCCGGAGCTCCGGCGGCATAGTATACAAACATCCAGAGTTCCTTGGCAGCATTTGGTTGCTCGATGTCTGAAGGCGTGATACACACGTTGAAGTCTCTTGAAAGAAGCCTCTGATATTCTATGATGCTGGACAGACACTTATTCTGCCCGTTGTCCACAACCAACAGGCCCCAAATCATGAAAACAACGGTACTATCGCACATGGCTGTTGCAGTTCCCACCTCCAAAGTTAAGACTTTCCAGGTCAAAGCTAATTGTTGTCAAAGCAAAATACCAAATCTAGAGGCTCTGACTTGTTCTGGCAAGCAGCTCATCTGGCTCCAAATAAGCGTCCAACAGCATAAGGTGAGGAGCCTGAAGAATGTCGCCCTGGAGGAGAACGTCTTCATTGTGGATGTCCCAAAGCACGTGGCAACGCCGACTGCAAGAAGCAACCACAGACTGGAGCTGCAGAGCCACCTGCAGAATGAACATTAAGAAAGGAAGCACCATAAAAGCACATGTCTGGAGAGCGAAGCACATGCTGCACATGCAGGTGGGCACTTTGCAATCTTCCACCGCTTCACATTGAGGCTAATGCTTTTGTGTATCACACCACCTCATGTAACCGCACTCGTGCACAAATTCCACCTAGTCTTGACGCATGGGCGCAAGCATGCTTACAATAAAGCAGACTCAAACGAAACACACAAACACACACACACACACACACACACACACACTTGATCCCATGCAAGATGGCTAAGACAGCGGTCTGCATGCTAGCCAAAATGGTGTAAACTAAGAAACAGGGTTGGCACACTTGTTGGCGAAGGCCCATTTACGACCAATTTCACATGCAGAAAGCAGACCCAATAACGGTACACACTTCGTGAAAAACCGAAGGTCCCTCTGGTACCTTTTCCCTTGAAAGCACGAACCCTGACCTCTCACACAAGTGCGGACAACTCTCTCTTTTTCACAGTCAGTCACTTGAGCCACTTGAGCCAAAAGTCACGAAGTGCACAAACTAAACGAATTCTCTCTTGTGAGCTTAAACTCAGCTTCAGAACGAAGTTCCTACACACTGCACACTCACTTTAAATAGCGTATTGGGCAAAAACACACTCGTATGATTTCCTTGGAAATCAACGAGGCATAAACCATCGAGGATGGGATCACACGGATTCCCAATCACTCCGAAGCAAAACAAACCTATACAAGCTGATCCAAAACATGACAAAAACATCACTGATCAGCCACAATCTTCCACCCCCCGCATTTTGCTGAGGGTTCATGTCAAAGATCTGAAGTCCAAGCCCAGCTCGGCACTTCAACACTAAGGGGATGCCCTGGCCACATTCCCTTGGTGCGTACTCGCCACCAAACGAAACAAACAACACACCAGTCGATCTCTGACATCAAACTTAAAACTCATGCAAGATCCCACCATCAGGCAGGTTGTCCTGGGTCCACATCACTGGTAACCCAAGAGTTCGTTGTCCAAACACGTGAAAAACGAATTAAACTTGCATCCACCTGCACTGGGGCAGGGTTGTCTTGGAACGAATCCAAGAGTTCGTGGTGACAAACACGTGAAAACGAATTAATGCAAGCTTCAGATGTTTCCCACTCAGCACTCGACCTTGTCGTGGTACTCCTCCTCAGTCTCGCATCTTCCAGGTCACCAAACTCACCAACTAGCATCGGCTAGCTGATCCTTCAGGAAAAGATTGGCTTCATAGTTTCGCTTCTTCCAGCGTACCATCAGCCAAAAACGTCTTCAGAGGTGGCAATCAGACGCCTTGCAGAAGGAGCTATAGAGTCCCTCGTTGAGTTTCATCATCATTTTGCCTCCTCTTTACAAACTTCTCATGCACTGAAACAAGGGCTCACACTAACCAGAAAAATCGCGGGCGCTCCATGGCGGCAACGCGGCCATGGCTTCCAAAAAAATGGCTGCGGGTTTCACTCACCCACCCAACCACTGAGATCACTTAGCATCTCAGTTCATTCTTCATCCTCTTCGCCCTTCTTCTCGCCAGCTCCAGTTGACTCCATCAACTTGGCGCGGCGCTCCTTGGCGGCTTCCTTCATCTCCGCCAACTCAGCCGTCCTCGTTTCCATCATCACATCCTGCGAAGATCGGCTAGGCTCAGCTGGCGTCTCCGCAGGCCTCTCAGTTGGCTGGTCTCCAACCTTTCTCTTCTTCTCTTCCAACATCAGCTCCAAATCGGCAACACTAAAGCTTGCCTTCACACGCTCAGCAATCTGCGCGATAGCTGCTGCATCCAACTCAGATGGTACAACTGACACAGGCGAGCGAACCGCTTCGCCTTCCAGCTTTGCTCTCTTAGCAGCTTCTTCCTCGGCAGCTGACAGGTCGGCGATGCGCTTGCGCTTTCGCTCAGCTTCCTCGAACTCTCGGTCTTGCTGTTCCGCTGCAGCCTTGAGGATCCGCTTCAGGTCCTTTTCCTCCTTCTCGAGTTTCCCAACATTCTCACCCATGATCCCAAAGGCTTGCTGCCACATGTCGGCAGGCAACGTCAAGTTGAACCTCACCACATAGTCGGTCGGCAAGTGCCACTTACACTTGCAGATCCACACAACACCGCTTCGAGTCTCACTCGCAACCACCTTCTTCCAGCTTGCCGCCCTCTGCGTGTCGGTGATCTCCTCTTTCTTTTTCTCCAGGTCCTCCAAGAATCCTGCAACAGACTCCATCACGGATCTGTAGTGGCTGTAGGCCACAAACGACCACTTGGGGACTGGTCTCTCCCTCAGCTCCGGCTCGTGAATCCGAAGTGTATCACACGACAACATCGAAATCACTCGCACTCGCTCCACCAGTTCCTTAAACACCAAGGATCCTTCCTTTGCACTTCTCTTCCAGCGCAACACCCATGGGGGATAATACGAGCTCTCAGCTTCATCCTCCATGATCCTCTCTGCTCCCAAAATGGGTAGCATGCACAACAGATCCACCATCCGCAAGACTCCGAGGTCCTGGTGCTCACCCAGAAGCAAAACAGGGACTATCCCTTTTCTCTTCAAGTACCTCACGAAGCTCAACATCGCCAGGCCACACGTTCCCGGCGGTACTTCCATGTACAGTCCTCCTTCATTCACTGCCATCTCCCAGATGATGGCCTTGCCACCAATCTGTCCACGGACATCCAAGATTCCGAAGATCTTCGTGGGTTTCTCCTGTAGCTCACACACCTCCTGGATGGGCTTCACCAGCTTCTCGTATGAGCTTTGATAGCGCAACATATCCTTGTCGGATAGCGTGCCTACCACGTCCTTGAGCTCTAGCTCATCCACTGGAGTTCCGCGCCGGCAGATACTCCATGACACATCACCGAACCACTTCGGCGGCTCTGGATCCGCCAGCTCCGGAAACACGTCGACCATCCGTTCAATCACCTTCGGCATGGCCTTGGGTTTCGGTGCAGCTTGGCCTGAGCCTCGGCTTTCACCTTTATCACCCCTTTTTCCAGCAGCTCGGCGCTCCTTCTCTGCCTCTCGGAGATGGAATGCATGGCTTGCATCCGTGCCAGAGACTGTCACAGTCTGTTTGCACTTTTCGCACTTGGGCTTGCCACTTTCATCCCAGCTCAACCCGGCAGCATGCTCGGATCTGAACAACCATTTGCAAACCTTACACCAAAAGGGGCTTTTCATCTCAGCACCCTGCTCACCCTTCCTGCTGTCTTCAGCTGCCATTTTCCTGTCCTTCACCAAAGGTACAGGCTCCAGGCTAGGGC